TGTCTCCAGTTTCCTCGTATCACCCTACGCCGGTTTCCTCATGCAATCATACTCCTATTTTGCGTTCGCCAATCACTGCGTGGAGTCAGTCACCCTTCGTAAGGCCAACATTGTGCAATTCCCCTGGAGATTCCATGCCAAAAACTCCATCGAGACATTCAGGCCTCTTTCCCACTCCACCATCCCCAGTAAGACTCCTCACTTGAATATGATGCTGGTAAATGTTAAGCATCAATTACCCGAAAGATTTGACGATTAGTAGGCCTCGATCATCTTAATCTGCTAAATCTTTTCAGTTCCAACAGCAGTACGGCACTTTCACCAGATATCTCGAAGATCTTGCTTGTTGCTAAGTTTATTAAATTCGTCAACACTAGATTTCGATATAAACTGAAAATAAAGATGCACCGTTGTTTATAGTTCTGAAATGAACCATTTATTGCATAGTTCACTCACTTTCAAGTCTGGTCTCAATCCTAGTATGGACGATACATTTATTGCAGAGTTCACTGTAATGGCATGCATCATTTTTCTTTTGCCTTTCGGAGTCGATACGTCCAGGATCTGGCATTGACGCATGTTCTCTTTCCTGGTTTCGTTTCAGGGTTCAAAAAAATACGAGAAACTGAAAAAATCAAGTGTTCCATGAGTTGATTCCCAGACACACCGTGGATTACTGATTCATGGAAAGGAAGGAGCACAGCATGTGAAGCAAAGAAGCGAAGCTCCGATTCTCTTATACGCAGAAAGTAACTCGTACCCGACTCATATTACTAAAACACATCAATATATAATCTTACCGTACCTTTTTCACTTGCACTATTCAGACTTGCCGTGAACATTCCTATTACTCGATCAAAATTCACTGTTATGAGCCAAGAAACTTGCCTCACTCCACTCCTTCAAACTCAGCGGACTTTATCCTATCTATGTACCAATGGTTAGTAACCTATTTTGATAGCACTGATTAGAATATTACGAAAGATACAGGCAGACGCCCAATAAAATAATGAACATTTTTTCACCTTTTCAACTTACTTACTCGCCGACCAAAAGGAAAAAACCTTACTAACTCTGGCCAGCTTGATGACGAAATCCATTTAACTGTACATTGTTTTGAAAGTTGACTAAAATCACCTGATGTCAGCACTGTAAATATATTATCAATAATGTTACGAATAATTTATGAACTTTGACTCAATATGCAATGTAATCCCTAAATATTTAATTTATTCAATGTGGTCCATAAATTTTTGGTACATGTTCAAGTTAGTCCCTAGATTATATGAAAATGTTCATTGTTATCATTTCATTATTTCAAGTTCAAAAACAATAGTGAACATTTTCATATGATCTAGATTAGACATGTATCAAAAGTTCAAGGACCACATTAAACAAATTGAAAGTTTCAGGGATAATGTTGGCAAATTCTAAAGTTCAAGAACCGCGTTGAACAAATTAAAAGTTCATAGATCATATTGCATATTGAATCAAAGTTCATGGACGATTTGTGTCATTTTTTCATTATACTAAGATAAATTACGTGTATAACTAACAAACCAAAACACTGTTGCTATCTCACTGACTCCATAAAATAAAATAAAAAAATGTGACGCGTTCGAGAAAATCAAAGTTTCGGATACACATTCGTTGATTCCACGTGTGCATGAGTGTCGTGTGCTGGCATGAGTCGTAATAGACTTCTTAACGTGTCCCAGCCTGTCTCATCACTTTTTATATGCTGGTGTCTTACGCTTCCCCTGTGGACTTCCATCTTGACTTATCAGATCTGATTTTCTGAAGTTGACATCGATAGTAGAAAGTTACTAGATTGGTTTGTTTTTCCAGAAAATGAATTGTTCTGAAAAGAAATTATTTATATCACTTATAAAAATGAGTAAACAAAAAATATTTTCTTCGTCTACGAAAATATTTAAAAAAAAATTATTTTTACCTAATTATTTCAAGCAATATAAATGATTATTTTTACGAAAATTTTTTGCCAAATTACTCATTTTCCGCGAAACCGATTTTTAAGAAAACATTTTTCCCATTTTCCGGCATTTGTTTGATTTAAGAAAATAAATCAATGGAAAAGGTTTTCCTACAAAGCTTAAACTCGGGAAAATAATTTCCTCTTTCACAAATCGAAAATCATTTTGCAAAATATGACTAGCTATCGACGTTTTGACTAAAAACTTTGCGCTTGAACACATGAACCCCAACGCTCGTTCTCGAGTTCTTAGCAGCAAGGCAGGGTCCTTGACACCCGGGTCCATCGAGGTCGAGCCCAAGTCCATCTAAGCCCTGCCCAAGACCCCGGGACACTGGTGCCCGGGATGTCAGGCCCGAAATTGCTGACATAGACGTCAGCCATCCTAAGTGGCACGGCGGTGCTGACATGGATAATTTTTACATATTTTTAATAATTTTTATTTTTTTCTTCTTTTCTTTCTTTTTCTTTTTCTTTCTTTCTTTGCCGATTGCCGACCGTGCCACATAGGACGGCTGACATCCAATTTTGGTAATTTTCCTACCTGAATAGTGTATGTCTATTTAGGAAAATCAAATAAGATTTGCCTTACGAAACGACAGAAAATATTTTTCAGTTCATTTGTAGGTCTCAACAAAATACCAGAAATTATTGTAATTATCCTGAAAAATGATTTCCAAAAAATATTTTCTAGAAATGTCACATTTTCTGCGAAACAAACGGAACCAATAATTTAAGTCGAATACACTTAACCGCATGTCTTTAAGTGCATGCATGTTATTAATGGTCGTGCAAAAATAATCGGCTAGTTTTAGCCCATAAAATGGGCAAAAAAAACAACGCAATAGGAATCTTAAGAAATGAGAATCGCATAAATCCTAGTGAAATTGGAGCGATAATCAATTTGAAATTTTGCTTGCAAATTAAAATATATAAAAAAACCAAAAAAATTAGTTCAAATATTCTGCAAGATACGGACAAACACCCAAATAAACTAATAAGCATTTTTTAACCTCCTCATATGGCATAATCAATTTCGACCAAAAAAAATCGCATAATCAATGCATTTACTCTGGCAAGCTTGACAGTGAAATCCATTCATCCGACGCTACGACTACATCTGTACTAAGATAAATTATATGTAAAATCCACAAAATAAAACAATATTGCGATCTCATTGACTCCATAAGTGTTCAAGAAAAATCCAAGTTTAATGTCCACGTCCATTAATTTAAAAGGGGCATGAGTTTTGTATATTAACATAAGATGAGACTCCTTAACGTATCTCAATTTGTGTCGTCACTTTTATATGCATGTGTCTTGAGCTTCGCATGCCGACGTTCATCTTTATTTATTGGATCTTATTTTCTGAAGTTGACATTAATCATGGAAAATTGCATTGAGTTTATTTAATTTGTCGATTTGATATTAAATTCGTGGAGGGCACATAAGTCACAAAGTCATTGAGCCTCTCGGCGTGGGACGACACTTTTTCAGTGAGTTATCACCTTTGATTTTCACCATTTTCAATTGTCTTCATATCCTAATGTTTAACAGGATTAGAGCAAAACTATACATATATAGTTGAAATAAAACAAGAAAATTCAGCCTGTGAGAATTTATTCACACGTATGATGTCTATCTATGTATTATCTTGTGATATCAATCAATCAGTAGAAGTTTAATGTCAATAGGAAAACTCGAAAAATAGAAGCCTCTCCAATAATTACATCTTATACACCAAACAACATAAACTCGGGAGATATATATATATATATATTATAATGTTATTTGTGATTACACATTCTTACTTCACTATAAAGCAAAGAATCACTATACCACTTCGATATAATATGATATTTCTTTTTCCCTCAATGTATTAAATCCTAAAAACTGATGGGAGTCTCAACGCATGCACGGCAAGTAAGCTAATGCATTTCGTGGAGAGAGAGGTTTGGCATTCTCAATGTAAGAAATGCTTAGGATGTGGAGGAGATTTTGGATATCTTCCTGATTGAATGTAAATCGATATTATAACATTCGGTTACTTTAATTAGTCATCTTGAAAAGCCGGGTCATGTACTCTTTGTTATGTACATAGAAATATACAAGAACTTCCTCACATTTTCCTTTCCGCATCATTCATTTCTCTCGACACGAGACGAAAGCGTGCTATATGGGAAGGATAAACGGATTATTTTATCGGAAGAAAGCTGAATCCATCCTTCTCAATCGTTTTAACAAATCGGTCCAACCTAATCTTACCAAATATTAAACTCAACCAATGCTACTCAAGTAAGCAGATGGTGGCTGGGGACGTAAAAGTGGTGCTTTTTGAGGTAGGCACTTCTGGGTCAATCGTCATTGATCTCAAATACCTAACTAAGTCGCTTTCAATGATCAAATTCAATTATGAGTGTTTTCGACCAAAAATAAAATAAAATAAAATTATGAGTGTTTTTTTTTTTGTAATTAGGGAAATTCATCCAGTACCTTTATCTCTTTTTTTTCCACAGCTAAAGAAGGATTTGCCCCCACTGTTTAGCAGCGTCACAGGTTTGAAGTAAGCTAGGTGGTCTCTTCTATCCTTAATTGGAACCGTTCATGGGTTAAGATAGCCAGCTAGGATTTGCCCCCACTGTTTAGCAGCGTCACAGGTTTGAAGTAAGCTAGGTGGTCTCTTCTATCCTTAATTGGAACCGTTCATGGGTTAAGATAGCCAGCTATTTATGTGCTGATGCACTATTAAAATAAGAGGTCCAAAGTGCCATACCTGCTACACCATTGCTGCTATAGCCCACTTCGGGTTTAATATTTTATTTTGTTCGAATCTGATTGATCTGGTCATGCATGACAGATTGAAGATGCATTGATTAAACGCGTTTTTCACACTATTTTAATATCGGGACATGCAAAGTTTCATGATTCTTCGGAAGATGAGTTCCTCGCGGAAGCAAATTCATTGATTGAAGAGTAGAGATGCCTACTTTGACAATATAGATATCGTATTCACATACATGTACTGGCTCAGATTCAGTTGTTGCACCTTCCCTGGAACAATTTCTCTCTTCTTCAAGCTGGTAACTGATGAACAGATGATGGGATTCAGCAATGGCCCATCTTCTTTCGTCATCTTTCTTGTTGATGTTTCCTTTTTGTGTTTGTCTTAATGGAAAGCCATTTATTATTGTGATCGGTGGGGTGATTATGGATGATGACAGCATCTGTCTCATTTTGTTTTTGCTCCTGGAGAAAAAAGTACTGCTAGTGTTGCAGTTTCACTTATCAAGTTTTTGGCAGTTAGGACTGGGCATTTTGCCGTAATGACGCACCAAAGTCGGTGTCATTTGTCATCATCCTCGCAAGATTTTGATCTCTGAATTCATAAAAACATCTCATACAAGCTGAAAGCTTCAATATTAATAGCCCTCAACTTTCGCTTCATTCTTATCTGCGACAGTAGTCATCTTCTCAAAAGCTTTTCATTCCACTCCCCAAGGCCTAAAATGGCTGCTAATGATGTGCCATGCTGCGAGTCAATGTTCTGGGTCTATTTAGTGGTGTGCATTTCTCTTGTGTGCTTTGCCGGCCTCATGTCAGGCCTCACGCTGGGACTCATGTCGCTTAGCTTGGTCGATCTCGAGATTCTTGCGAAAGCTGGTCAGCCTCAGGATAGGAAAAATGCAGGTGGAACTTTAATCTTCCGTTCTTTTCCACTCCTTAATTAGCATTTGTCTTCTGAAGTAATTAGTCTTCATTGATCTCTCGTGGTCGCAGCAAAAATCCTTCCCTTGGTTAAGAATCAGCATTTACTCCTATGCACACTTCTCATATGCAACTCCATAGCTATGGAGGTAGATAAAGACGTTCCTTCATATGGTTTTCTATGTATGGTTTGTCTCTATTTGGTATCTGATTCTTGATGATTTTCTCCAAAGGCTTTGCCGATCTTCCTTGACGCGCTTCTTCCAGCGTGGGCCTCTGTAGTGATCTCGGTCACACTCATACTTGCTTTCGGTGAGGTAAGAGACTCGGAGTTCAATCGATGTGATTTTTTATGTAGGTATGTGACGAGCGACTCTGAATTAGTGTTCTCTCCTTTCCATGACAGATTATTCCACAAGCTGTTTGTTCTAAATATGGGCTAAGTGTTGGAGCGAAATTGTCTTTTGTTGTCCGGTTGCTTGTAATAGTCGCCTTCCCTATAGCTTACCCGATCAGTAAGGTAGTGCACTGATTCCTAGTCTCAAACTGATAACGACCAATGAACTTGAGTTCTGATAATATAAAAGAAACTGCATTGTAGTCCTAATGGCATTGTGGATTTCATGTTAGGCATTGGATTGGTTGCTCGGTAAAGGACACTCGGCACTTCTACGGCGGGCAGAGCTGAAAATGTTTGTTGATATGCACGGGAATCAGGTAAGTCTCGTGTCTGCTTTGGGATTCACAACAAATGAACTTGGAATGGCAGGATCGGAACTTCAAGAAAAGATATAGAAAGTTGATCATATTGTCATTGTCATGTAAATTGTCTAGGCTGGGAAAGGCGGAGAATTGACGCACGACGAAACAACCATCATTGCTGGAGCTTTGGATATGACTCAGAAGACTGCTAAAGATGCCATGACGCCGATATCAGACATATTTGGTCTCGACATGAACTCTAAACTCGACAAGTACAGCTCCACTCACGTCTGCTTTTCGTTTAGTATGAATACTTTTCATTGCTTAGATTATAATTTCAAGTTCGGTTTTCTTAGGGAAACAATGGGACTGATCATTAGGAAGGGGCATAGCCGTGTACCCATTTACTCGGGGAGCCCAACTAACATAATCGGCCTTATTTTGGTAAGGTGAACTCTCTCTAGAATTTGTGTGTCAGATCGTTTATCTTGTAATAATAGCCGTTCTCTTCTGGATGAAGGTGAAAAACTTGATCAACTGCAACCCAGAAGATGAAACCCCTGTCAAAGATGTTACCATTAGGAAAATTCCTAGGTACCTAAGTTTTTGGGTAAACTTGCTTTTGATAATTCTGAGTTTCTTTTTACAATTTTTCCTCTGCAAAGTTGTTTTTTTAGCCGCTTAAAGTGTCCCGGCTAATCGGAAGAGTGCGTATTTCATACAATTTTTGATGATCTCTAGCAGGGTTCAGGATTATTTGCCTCTATATGATATATTAAACCAATTCCAAAAGGGTCACAGCCACATGGCTGTGGTTATAAAATGCAAAAAGGGCTTAAATGACATTGGAGAAAATGCAAAACCTACCACAATCAGCATAAATGTGGATTCAGATTCAAAACAACAAGGTAACATAAGAGGTAAGAGCAATTGTCTTCTCTGATTGATTTAAGGTGATTACAGAAGATAGAAACTTCTTACGAGAACCTTTCGCAGGCTCTGGTCATCAATTCGGGCTGAAAGAGCAACGTATCATGTTTAGAAACTCGCCGTCTGTGTACTCCACTGATAATGAAGCCCAAAGCCCAAATCAGAAGAATATGCCTGAACTGCCCAAAAAATCATTCTCCCAGTCGAAGAAACTGAAGCAAGGAGAGGACAATATCTTAAAGGAAGATTGGGAATCTATCCCGAGTACGGAGGATGAAGTCGTCGGCATCATCACATTGGAGGATGTCATTGAGGAACTTTTACAGGTCAGACACATAGTATAGTGCTTGTCACTTGTAAGTCTGTAAATTCTTCTTTCTCTGCATCTACAGGCGTAAGCATATAGATTAGGGATGACCTCTCGGATTATGTAAGTGATCCAGTGTAATCTTGTTTAGGTTAGACAAATGGTATCTGACATTGACAATGGCATATGCAGTTCTCTTTCACCAGATGAATATAAAAGTAGCGTGTCTAAATTTTATAGCGCTTCTATTTGCATCATTAGAAATTTGCTGATCTATTTTTCAGGCATGTTGTCGATTTGCTTGTTCAATCTGTTTGATGTCACATCTTTTACGTCTTTGGAAATCAGTAACGTGAAAGCTAAGTCTACTGATGCATGAATAGTTTGAGTTGATTCATGTGTATGTCTAACTATTAATCTTTTGACGCAGGAAGAAATACTGGACGAGACAGATGAGTACGTCGATGTTTATAACAAGTAAGAAGCTAGTTAGTTGAGAGGTGCATTAATATGTTCTCTTTTCTCCTTTAGCTAATCTTGTCTCCTACTATCCTGTCTTAGAATTAGCATCAGCATGGGACCTTCGAGACTGTCATTATCTAGATCGCCCGGAGCAGCATCAGCATCTCAGATAAACTGGCGGACGCCAGTCATGTCTCCAGTTTCCTCGTATCACCCTACGCCAGTTTCCTCATGCAATCATACTCCTATTTTGCGTTCGCCAATCACTGCGTGGAGTCAGTCACCATTCATAAGGCCAACATTGTGCAATTCCCCTGGAGATTCCAGGCCAATAACTCCATCAAGACATTCAGGCCTCTTTCCCACTTCACCATCCCCAGTAAGACTCCTCACTTGAATATGATACTGGTAAATGCTAAACATCATCTACCCAAAAGATTTGACGATTAATAGGTCTTGAACATCTTCATTTGCTATATCTTTTCAGTTCCAACAGCAGTATGGCGCTCTCACCAGATATCTCGAAGATCTTGCTAGTTGCTAGGTTAATTTATTCGTCAACACTAGATTTCATTAATACTGAAAATAAAGATGCACCGTTGGCTTATAGTTCCGAAATGAACCATTTATTGCGTAGTTCACTCGCTTTCAAGTCTGGTCTCAATCCTAGTATAGACGAATACCATATTAGCATGCATTATTTTTCTTTTGGCTGTCGGAGTCTATACATCCAGGATCTGGCATTGATGCATTTTCTCCTTCCTGTTTGCGTTTCAGGGTTCAAAAAAATATGAGAAACTAAAAAAATCGAGTGTTCCATGAGTTGATTGCCAAAGACACCCTGTATTATTACTGATTCACGGAAAGGAAGGAACACAGCATGTGAAGCAAAGAAGCGACGCTCCGATTTTCCTTGTATGCAGAAAGTAACTCATAGGACACTGTATTGAAATTTAATGAGGGACTTTCTTTCCCCAATACTCTATTTTGCTAGCATTTCATGGATGGGGTAATCCTGAACATTCGGAACCAGTTGACATTGCTGTACGGAATTCTACGAGACAATTTGAACACGGTTAAAGCTGATTGACTAAACTATGCAGTCTTTAATTTCGCTTTTTGCATGAACTTTGGTGCAGATTAGTACAACTCTAACTCCGACATATGTGGAGGAGTAGAGAGACCATTTTGTAGGAAATGCTACACATGTGCAACGAACGGTAGCCCGCTCATCTGTTTGAGATACAGAGCAGAGTCATGATCCTGCTTCCAGGAAAACAGATAAAAGCTAGGGAAATCATAAAGATTCCCAACTAATGAGAGTAAACTGTTATTATACAGAGCCACGAAGCAGTACTCCTTTCAGTACTCTGTATTTCTTCCACCATGGAAAAATATCGACACAGTTTGAAAAGAGATCCAAATTACTGGGGATATTATGTGATTAGTTCGTTTCCAAAATAGAAAACTCGACCAAGCAAGTCAAAAAGGAGTAAATTGAACCAAAATAATTCCCTTTAAAGTTCTATTTCTGTCAGAGAGCAAAACGAATGTTTTATTATGTTCCACCAACACACTAAAAGGGTTATATGATATATTGGGTGTGCAAGTAAGCCAACATTTCTAGTTCACCATTCCGCACTCACAGTTCGAGCATGCTCATGCCTTCGGTCTCTGCGACACGGCATGCACTGAACTTTGTGAGATTCTTACATTTCCAAGTCGAATTCTCGCAACAATGAAGCCTGAAGGAGAAGCCCCCCTGAAATTCCGATGCAGAGGATGTTTGGGCATGTTCAAGATTAGACACGATGAAAAGATATGCCAGACCAAGTAATTTATACACTATTGTCAGCACAAAACATCATACTCTTTCCAGCTCATAAGCCCTTACGGATACAATATCACAAGTTACCACTTAGAAACTTTTCTATCTATGACACTAATACAAAACAGAGTTTACTTTCCATGTCGCAGAAGCTTAGTCGACTTCCTCCATCTTGCTTTCCTCGGCAACATCCTCTTCCAGCGCAGGCATGTCAACATCATCACCAGCAGTCTCATCCTCATCGATGCTCAGACCGAGCTTCAGCATCCTGTGAATCCTCGCTGCGAAAGTGTTGGGGTCATCGAGACTGAAACCAGATGTTAAAAGAGCAGTCTCGAATAGCAACATCACCAAGTCCTTGACTGACTTGTCGTTCTTATCAGCCTCAGCTCTCTTTCTCAGCTCCTCCATGATGCCATTGTCTGGGTTGATCTCCATTGTCTTCTTGCTTGACATGTAAGAGCTCATGCTGTTGTCCCTCAGAGCCTGAGCCTTCATGATCCTCTCCATATTTGCGGACCAACCATATTCTCCAGTCACCAGACAGCAAGGAGAGTCCACAATTCTGTCCGATACCACCACTTTCTCAACTTTGTCTCCCAAAATGTCCTTGATTATCTTGCACAAGTTCTCAAAAGACTTCTTTTTCTCCTCCTTTTTCTTCTTCTCTTCCTCGCTGTCATCGAGCTTCAGGCCCTCTTTGGTTGCAGAGACCAACTTCTTTCCATCATACTCCTTCAGTTGTCCTACAGCATACTCATCGATTGCGTCCACCATGAAAAGCACCTCATAGCCCTTCTTCTTGAGCCGCTCCAGGAATGGAGAGTTCTCAACAGCCTTCTTGCTTTCACCAGTGATGTAGTAGATATCCTTCTGGCCCTCCTTCATCCTGGTGACATAATCCTTCAGACTTGTCATTTCCTCACCACTCTTTGTCGAGTGGTACCGAAGGAGGTCTGCGATTTTAGCCCTGTTCTGGCTGTCTTCATGGATACCCAGTTTCAAGTTCTTCGAGAAGGCCTCATAGAACTTCTTGTAGTCCTCCTTGTTCTCTGCAATCTCATTGAACATCTCAATGCACTTCTTGACAAGATTCTTCCTGATGACCTTCAGAATCTTGTTCTGTTGCAGCATCTCACGAGAAATGTTGAGGGGCAAGTCATCAGAATCGACAACTCCCTTCACAAATCCAAGATACTCCGGAATGAGCTCCTCGCAGTTGTCCATAATGAACACCCTCCTAACATAGAGCTTGATGTTGTTCATCTTCTTGCGAGTATCAAAGAGATCAAACGGAGCACGTTTTGGGACGAAGAGAATAGCCTTGAATTCAAGCTGCCCCTCGACAGAGAAGTGCTTCACGGCAAGATGGTCTTCCCAATCATTGGTCAAACTCTTGTAGAAGGAAGCATACTCCTCCTTGGTGATCTCCTCTGGCTTTCGCAGCCAGATGGGTTTCTGTTTGTTGATGAGCTGCCACTCATGAGAAACCTCCTTAATCTTCTTCTTCTTGGACTTCTTTTCTTCCTTCTCCTCATCGACATCCTCCACGTCTCCTTCCTCTTCCTTCTTGGGTTCATCGTCTTCATCATCACTGATCTCTTTCTCAGTTGTCTTCTCAGTCCATAGGTAGATGGGGTAGCTAATGAACTCGGAGTGCTTCTTCACAAGGTCCTTAATCCTTCTTTCTTCCAGGTACTCCAGCTGAGGAAAACAGAGACATGCGACACCGTTAGCATCATGTAACATAAAAAACAATGCATATTTCCTATACCAATTCATAAATGCAACCCCAAAGGAACTCACCTGGTCCTCCTTGAGGAAGAGGGTGATCTTGGTCCCTCTGCCCAGTTGCTCCCCACTCACATCTCTCGTGACAGTGAAGGAACCACCGGCCTGGGACTCCCAGATGTACTGCTCATCGTCATTGTGCTTAGAAGTCACAATGACTTTCTCAGCCACCAAGTAGGCAGAATAGAAACCGACACCAAATTGACCGATCATGCTCACATCAGCTCCAGCCTGCAATGCCTCCATGAATTCTTTGGTTCCCGACCTCGCAATCGTACCCAAGTTGTTCACAAGATCTGTCCAATTCACCTTAGATGTTAATATCTATTGATAGTCTCAGAACTTAAATGAACTTAATGTCACAAATACTGCTGTCGCACGGGGACAGAGCCAAAGGACGTGCACAAGAAAATTGATTAATCTCAGCCAACCGATTGCATTACCTGCTTTAGTCATGCCAATGCCACTGTCAATGATCGAAAGGGTCTTGTTGGCCTTGTCTGGCAGCAGCCTAATGAACAGCTCAGGCTGCCCATCGAGCTTGCTCTTGTCCGTGAGGCTTTTGTATCTAATCTTGTCCAAGGCCTAAAGGGCACAATCCGAACAGAGTGCAGAATTAGTATAGCGTCTTCGGCATCACAATATTGCATTTGATCACAACTATTCTTCAACAATGTTCAGGCAGAGCCATTCGATTACTATAGATTGAGGCTCTTAGTCTTTACCAGACATCAAATGTCTAATTCAAGCAAATATAAATCGAGAATCACAACTGCTGTGTCTAAGAGTCCGTTTTTTTTGCGAAAAATGAACGATTTGAAATTTTTTTTCGTAAAAATGATTGATTATTCCACTTACAAAAAGAAACGAATGAAAAATATTTTTATCGTCCATGAAAATGTCTGGACATAAATTACTATCGATGACGAAATCTTTTTTTTATTGGCTAATTATTTTAAACGATATAATCAATTATTTTTAGAAAAATATTTTCCAAAACCTGTGTTTTCCGCGAAACAAACGGACCTAAATACTTGCGCCGAGACAAAAATCACACTGGATAACTACACCCAACAGACAAGACATTGAATTATGCACGTTGCGGTGATGCCTTCGATCGCCAAGTCCCACTGCCAAATTTCGGTGAAACGTGAGTTTCGATTCCTCTCCGCGCGACCGAACAGACACGATTCTAATTCCCTCAAAGCTCACGATGCGGACGCCACAGCCAGGAACGTAAAAAAAAAAGGCAGGAACGCGCAAGCAAACAGCTCAACGAGAGAGAAGAGAGACAAACAGCTCAACAGAGAGAGAGAGGGGAGAGGGGTGACGTACATCGGAGGAGTTGCTGATGAGCTCGCGAAGGGAAGATCTCCTTGTTGCTGTAGAAGGTGTTGATGATCAAGCTCAGGAGCTGGTTTATCTCCGCCTGGAACGCGAACGTCTCCGCATCCGCCATTCCCGTCGCCACACACCCCCGCACACCGCCGCACACAAGGCAACGGAACACGCTAGAACGAGAGAACGAGAGAGAGAGAGAGAGAGAGACGAGTAAAGATCAGCGTGCCGAGTCAGAGAGCGCGAGCGAATCGGAATCGGAATCGGACGCCTTGTCTACGCGACCGCAGAGGGCGAGGCGGAGCGGCATTTTATATAGCTTGGAGGGAACGGGCGAAGAGCTGGGGACGTGGTTCTGGATTCTTCCTCCACGAACGGGAAACGACGTCGGAGGCGACGTCGGTTTTTTCCCCCGGCCGGTGTGGATCGAGCTCTGGTGTTTTTTGGAATTCGAGAACGTTCTCCCTACTGATCCCCGGAGGTAAGTCTCGAATGTTCTCCCGCGCGTTCTTCCTCCGCCGGGTGGGGACCCACCGAATCCAAGTTCTTTCCCCGCGGTCAATAAATCCCTTTCGACCCGGCCCGGCATCGCTCGGCCCATGTGACCCGACCCGGTTCTGCTCGGAAGATTAGGGGGTTATGGGCCGAAAGGCCCGGCTTAATGATGCTCCTCCATTGGATACGGGCCGAAATTTCTTGGGCCAAAGCAGGGGTTTGACTTGGATCTCGACAAGTCAAAAATGGGCCATCCTATTTCTTAACCAAGATTTGACTAGATGAGTTATTATACGAGTTAGCTATATTCACCAAATAAGTTTAGAATAGTAAAATCCTTAATAATATGAGTGTTAAAATGGGTTCACAAAAAACTTACTTAAATCGAATTCATCTCTATTACTTTCTCTTTTCTGATAAAAAATATATGTATATTATTCTCTCTTCACTCTCTCTTGCTCTTGGTCGATCTCGCGCTCGCTTTCTTCGCGCTCTCACCTCAATTTGAGCACGAGTTTTCCTATATTGGATTAAATATGGGTCGGGTGTGTGTGCCGGGTCGGTTGCGGATCACTAAATTTATATTGAATGGAATTGGGTTAAAACAGATTAAATGATTCAATTTGAGCCAAGTCATTTTTTACTCGACTCACCCATTTGACAGGTCTGTTTAGGTCGTATGACCAAGGCAAAGTTCCACTCCGCTCCACGCTTGCGAGCATCGATAGGGATGCTGAAAAAGGGAGGCGGGTGTGGAGCCCAAAAGGGCGGGTCCGCGTAGGCGACACTATCGACCCTCGATTAAAAAGGTAGTTCGTCAAGGTAGCTAGAGATGCTGGTTGCCGATACGTGTCCACGTTTAGGAGCGAGCAAAAACGGGGGACTAAATTGAGAAAAAAAAAAACCACTGGAGTTCGCCTCAGTGGCCACCCTTCCTACTTGGGAAGGGGGAGGTGGGGAGTTTAATTTCCCACCATCTCAAGGGGGTTAGGGTAGAGACGTATAGTTTCAGACGTGGGTTTCGACTCCCACGTCCTCCTGTAAGATGTAGGATAAAAGTCTGACAGTGAATTAAAAATTAGAGTAGGATCGATCAAAAAACAAATTGAGAAAAATCAGTTTTTATTTTTATTTTTGTAAAACGCATGAGAGGAACGAAGGGATCTAAAAGGTGCGGCGTGATTCGCTGTCCGCTTCCCATACGAAATCCTGCGGCCGCCCACCGGCCTCACATTCGCCTGTCCGAGCCAGACACGTGTCGTTGTCTCACCTCCACACATCGGTCCCCCACTTGCCCCTCCACTTCGTCCCAAATTTCACGAACCTACCAGCCCCTTCTTCTCCCCCTTGTCTTTTTTCCCCTTGTCATTTGTCGATTCCTCTCCGGTCCACTTTCTCTCCGTCTCGTGCGACTTCGATGCTCTAATCTTTATTATAATAGTACAGGGCAAATCTTTTACCCTTTTCGTATTTGTACGATCAAATTATCCCGGTCGTTAGCATTGCGAGGCATTGTTAAATCACACGATCTGATATCGTTAGAGGGATGGGAATTTACAGACACGAGGCAAGATCAGCGAATTAAAAGACATAGAGGGAGGAAGGGTATCACTGCTTCCCAAATAAACATGTAAACACTCGTCGGCACGTGCAGTCTTGGTGAAAGTCAAGAGAGTAGTGCCGCTCCGCTCAATTGGGCTGCAGTGACGGGCTCATCGACCTCGAGTTCTTGACTTTCGGGACGAATCGAGTGACCGTTACTCGAGCCGAACATTCCGTATCAGATGAGAGATCCTTTCGAGAATAGCACGTGAATTAACCCTCTTAATAATTTGTTATACATATTAAAGAGGAAATAGCGAATTGACCAACAATGGTGGCAATTCAGCAATTCAGAACATAGGGAGGGGCACTTGTCTATCTTCCCAATTCTTGAGTCTATAGAACATTTTCTAATACAATAAAGGTCTCTGCTTTGCTCAAGGAAGATTTGTGGTCTCGGTGCAATTGAGAGCAGCTCCAATTCCTCACTCTTCCGGAGTCCCACCGCTCTCTCCCTCTCTCTCTCTCTCTCTGTCTCGATCCAACGCAAGCACACAGAGCTCGAAGGCCCGTCTTTGGCTCCTCCCATGGCGACAGGCCTGTCCACCGCCGCCATCCCCAAGCCCATCAAATTCCTCCTCGGGAGCTCCAACCTCCTCCTCCTGCCGCAGCCCACCTGCCTCTCTCGCTCTTCTCATTCCTCCGCCCCTTCTCTCTCCAGAAACTGCACGGTCTTCCACGCCCCTAGGAGGAAGACGCTCCTCACGGTGTGCTTCGTTCTGGAGGACCTGAAACAGAGCCCCCGTCATGTCGAAACCGAAACCGCCACCGCCTCGCAAGAAGACGGCCCCGACGAAGCCGCCGCCGCGCGGTCCGATCAGATCTCGGCCCCGGCCTCGCGCGCCGCCGAGAGATTGGCGCGGAAGAGGTCGGAGCGGTTCACCTACCTCGTCGCCGCCGTGATGTCCAGCTTCGGGATCACGTCCATGGCCGTCATGGCCGTTTATTACAGATTCGCGTGGCAAATGGAGGTAAAAAACCGCGGAATCCGGTCCCTTTTCTTTTCGCGTTCTCTCCTCTACGTAGAAATCAATTTCTAATGCAAAGCTTGGCCTTTTTCTTCCCACTCTAATCTTGCAGGGACGGCAGGTGCCCATGTCTGAGATGTTCGGCACATTCGCTCTCTCTGTGGGCGCTGCCGTAAGTTTCCATCTTTCAATATTGAAACACGAACAGGAATTTAAAAATTTCGTTCTTTTTGGGTTCATGAAGCATGAAGATGAAATAAAGAAAAGGTTGGGCATTCCTGATTTTGCGTTCTCAGTGCCGAAATCGAGAAATGAGCTTCATTGCATTCTTTGACTTTCAGGTGGGCATGGAGTTCTGGGCGAGATGGGCTCACCGAGCTCTCTGGCATGCCTCTCTGTGGCACATGCACGAGGTCTGTCCCCTCATCATAATTTCAAGCAGCCCATTGACTTAGAGAACAGAGAATTCCCATTTGAATACCCTCTCCATGGCCGAAAGAAACTGACCCAAGTTTGTTTCGATTGAATGTCAGTCTCACCATCGGCCGAGAGACGGGCCGTTCGAGCTCAACGACGTCTTCGCCATCATCAACGCCGTTCCGGCCATCGCCCTCCTCTCCTACGGCTTCTTCCACAAGGGCCTCGTCCCCGGTCTCTGCTTCGGCGCCGTAAGTGACCGGAATCTCGCTTAACAACGGTTTAATTATCGCCTTAATCGGCTGCCGTTGCGATCACCTGCCTGGGATTATTCTATGCTCCCTTTTTTTCTTTTGCTTTCTAATTGAGCTGGGAAGACGGGCCCCACGATCGTCGCCTACTTTCTCGCTGATGTTCCGACGACCAACCCCCCTCTTGACTCTATCGCTCGATCGATCAGGGCCTCGGGATCACGGTGTTCGGGATGGCGTACATGTTCGTCCACGACGGCCTCGTCCACAGGCGATTCCCCGTGGGCCCCATCGCCGACGTGCCCTACTTCAGAAGGGTCGCCTCAGCCCACCAGGTACAAAACCCCATACGGGGAGATCGGCGCCGCGGCCAATGGGGGCGCTCCACGTGGCTGCTTAGGGATTCTGTTTTTGTCGTTTTTCTATGGGTTAATCCGACGGCGGAGATCTCGTCCTGAGCAATCCTTGGATTTTTTTTTCATCTCTTCCAGATCCACCACTCGGACAAATTCAATGGGGTGCCATATGGACTGTTCCTCGGACCTAAGGTAGGGGACCGACCCGTCTCTGTGTTTTCTTTCCTTCCTTTTCTTTTGTGGCGGCAATTATTGGTGTGGTTTTTTCCTTTGACTGACCCCATTATTGGTTGCGTTGACCGATTCTGTATTTTAGTTTTTGGTGAGGGAGTGAGCTGAAACATGTTGTGACGCAGGAGCTCGAGGAAGTTGGAGGGCTAGAAGAGCTGGAGAAGGAGATCAGCAGGAGAACCAAATCGTAAAAGGGCTCGGGATCGTAGCCGGAACCGGCCGGCCCTGTCTTGACTTAGAATTTTCCATCGGTGTAAAAAATGAATGAGAACTGTCGTAAATGATGATGAAAAGAAAGAAGCATTTTTGGAACGGATGTTTCGTGTGCTTTGCCCGTCGAGTTCGGTCTTCGGTTTTCGCCGGACGCAGCATCAGTTCTTCTGCAAGGGTGTTGGCAATTCTTATAAGAGTGGAAGCATGGTCCATCTCGTTATATGAGGAATCTGTCTTCTTGCTGTCCTTAGGTAATAGTGATATGACTATTGCCCATGGTGAATCGTAATCTTAGCAGAAGACAATGTTCAAGAAACAAGCACGCTTTTTGTCTTCTTAAGCCTTGCTTTTAAGAGTTGGATTCGGGACAGGGTGATTGTATATTTTCTTAAGATCAATCTCGCGTTTATGTTGATACTACATGGTGAGGAGGGACTGTCACATTTGGAATAGGAGAGTTGGGGAATTGTGATGACAAAAGAAAATTAATATTATGTTCATTATCAAATGAAGAGTACATGTATCTATTTGTAGGCTTTACAGGATGATTATTTAGAATAGCAAAATATCAATTACAATCAATCGGGACTAATCAACGAAATATATAGAATCTCCTCTTTAAGATCCCCCCTCAAAATTAAGGTGATTTGATAGAGGTTAACTTGAGTTTTGAGAAAAAGATACGGAAAACGCCCGGGTGAATATGTCTTGGTGAAGACATCGGCATGTCCAGCAAATGAAGTAGAGACGAGTCTGGTGGTGGTGTTCGGTTTTTCCAAAACAAGTGGCGGAAGATGTCGAAATCAGCACATAACAACAGTGAGCTCAACATGTACGAGACGTGGCGACATGTGGCAGCGCATGTGGAGGCGTCCGGCATCCTTTGGCGACGAAATCTCATAATCTAGGTCTTCTGAGTACGGTGAGTCTAATGGTGGTGTCTGTTCTCTGAAATGAGCAACAAATGAGTTTCAAACAACAACCGAAGAGCTGCGGACTTGATGGAGTAGACTCGATAGGCGTTTCCTCATAAAAGAATGGATTTGATACCAAATTGAGGATTGTGATAATGAAAAAAATATAACATTCTATTCATTATCAAATAGAGAGTACATGGGCCTATTTATAGGCTTTATAAGATGACCATTTAAAGCAGCAAAATATCAATTACAACCAGTCAGGACTAATCAAGAAAAACATACGCAATCTCCTAAACATATCTCTAATGGGATATAAGCTAGTTGCCACGGGAGGAAATATTGGCTAAGATAGGAAGATTGGACAAAAATAGATTGGAGTGGTATCTAACTTTCTTATCCCTTGAGCACTTTCAAGGTGGCTGGTGCAATCCTCAAAACAAGCCCCGACAAACTCTTTGAACAGAGCATGTCTAACCCAACCGGCAAGAGCCAATAATGGAGATAGATGGATCGACAGGAAGTTGCTGGGTGGGTTCAACACGAATCAGCGGGGAGCTTGCCGATTGACAGAAGGTCCCACTTAGCTACAAAGAATGGAGCAGACAACATCACTTTTGCTTTTTGTGTCCTGGTGGGCACTCGTCAACCGAAAGGAATAGCAATCGCCACATCACCAAAACGAAAATCGTCCATCCACATTGCACGATACAGGTCACTTTTCGCCAAAAATCGCCCAGTCCTAGAGACTTATTTGAGTTGCCCACGCATCCACTAGAATTATGCAAAACGCATCGTGCTGTCTTGCCAAAGCGCAACTTCTGGGGTGGACCCCAGTTCGTGACGCGTTGTGAGTCCCATGTAGCTATTCAATTTGACGAGCGCGACCCGCTGGACTTCACTCTGCACAAGGATTTCTAGGTAGAGATTAGGTAATCGCATTAAGATAGATTAGCGAGCGGGGGTGCAGTCAAAGTTTTAATGTTTCGAGGGATTGCGTGCGTATTTCTCCTAATCGAAGTGACCCGTCCCACCAATTCGGGTTGGGGGATTGCGCTACGTGTCGAGTTGAGGGCTCGTTTGTGTGGGCGTGGGACCGGACCACTCCGACCACTACCATATCTCATACGAAGAGGGCGCAATCTCGGTGGCTCATGCACTCATCGGACGGCCCCGATCCATCGAGCGAAAGTCTTCCACTAATTGTGGGATTTGTTCTAGTGGAAGGTGATTAACTTATAATAAATAATTGACCACTTTTTGCCCGCCCGAAGTAGCATATCCTCACACGTAGTCCTATCCGATTTTGCTTTTTTAATGCTTTGGACCGCCCCCATCTTCTTGGTCGGGTCACGAAAGAGAGAGAGAGACTCTTACGGGTTGGCTAGTGGCTACATCAATATGCTTTTTGATACAGTTGATTGTGTTTGCCGTTGATCTCGACCTCCTCAATGATATCCTTAAAAAATATATATATTTTTTGCTTCTACATGGCGTCGCATATGGCATACGGTTTTAGTGATGATGTGATGTTTCCGGAACTCGAATTTCGATTAGCTGGGATGGTGTAATTCCCGAGACGCAGAGGAATTGATCGGAATGTCCTAATAGAGTTCGACTAGTTACCGGTGCATGAAAGTGTTTTAAAGGACCTTCCTCCAGAGATGCGAAGCAAGCTTAAGAAGAAGCTCCAAAGAAAGGGGAAAGAATCAGGAGCGAGATCTCAGCTGCAAACGTATCAGATCCCATGAATTCCTCCGGAGCAAGCGGGAAATATCTTCGCCTTTTCCTTATGACCCACCCCCCACGGGTCTTGATCAATGTGTTTAGCAATCAGCATCCGAATCACTCTTTAAACTAGAGGTGTGCAAATGCAAAACCTTTTTTGTCCCGGACCGCTAACCAGAATTATATCATGGTTCATCCGGTTCCAAAAATTGGAACCGGTGGGTACTAAGACGCGGTTCCGCCTTGATGTGAACACGCGACATTATTTTTATTTTATTTAATAATATTTTTTTTAATTAAAAAAAGCTGACCAAAAAAAATAAAAATAAAAAAGAAAATAGGAGAGTTGTTGTTTTGTTTGCTTGTTGACTATTGTGAACTTGTGGCAAACTCCCACGGGTGATATATAATATAGGCTACGGATGTATTTGACGTGAAGCTTGTGAAGTTGTGAAATTTGTGATGAATCTTGTTGTGAAGTGTAATTGAATTTTGTGAAAAATTTTGTTGTCATTGTTTCTGAGGGTTTTAGGCTCATTCAATTTGTTATTTTAAATGAGAGCCTCTTGACTCTTGAGGCTTAAGCAGGTTGTGTAGAAGTTTGGAAGTTGTAGAGGGCACTTCTCCATCAGACCATTTTAGATGGAAGTGTATGACTTATGCATCAGACTAGTGAAATCAAATGCCAAGGCAGGGGTGTTCTATGTACACTGAAGATACGTCACACATGTGTATTAAGGTAAGTCAAAGTAGCATGTAGTGAACACAATCCACCAACGGGCAAGAATTAGATCAGTCCATTTTTTGATTTGTCCAGGAAAACTTAGTAGAGCCGATTCCATGGACCCACCCGAGAACCGGACTGCCGTGCAGTTCGGTTCTCGGGTGGGTCCATGGAACAGACAGGCGATTGGAACCGGTCCTTAGCGGGCGGTCCACGGTTCCGGGACTGGTAAACCGCCCACCCGCAATCAGCATCTGCTCACCCCTACTTTAAATCCTTGATTTTTTTATTTCAATTTTGACTAAACTCTCTCTACATAATTACTTAAAAGAAAAGAAAAGAGAAGAGAAGAGATGAGATGAGCTATCTGCTAGTCAACTCCGGATACATGATGGGTCATTTCATGGATCTGGAATGCGAACCTTTGCATTTCGATGGACCTTTCGTTTCGGCTTCATCGTCTTTTCACGCACGTTTCCTTTCGCTCAACACGAAAGACTCATGCATGATTTCGGCTCCGTCGGGAATTGATTCTCGGATTGCATGGACTCCGACGGAGCCTATTTGATTGAGGTCCTTCCATTTGATGTGTCCTGGATTTAAGGTCGTGGCAGCTTCAAATGACTATTTCGTTTGAGATAAACCTGGCATGTGATAGAGCATGGTTCCTCCGCGAAAAGAGCAAAAGGGCAAGGATTAGCTGAACCCGCTCAAACTACAAGCTGAGGAGAAAAGGAGACGTCTGGAGAAAGGTCACAGCGACTTCGCCGAATTATCGCTCTGCATCGACGAACAAGAGGTTTACACAACAACAGAGCTGGGCACCAATTGAACATGATGGCGAATCCCCTTTTAAACAATTGGGGCGAATTTAAGCCAATTTTTGAATTGAAAAGAAATCAAACATTTCAATACACAACGAATGACCAGTCAGTCGATTGCTATTCAACAATCTCATCTATATTACTCTGATACACACACCGAGCATTCTTGCAAAGTCTAGAGGTCTAGCTATCAGTCCTAGAGTTTTGCCGCAGTGGAACTTCTGCATCTTCTTCGCTACTTTTCCTCAACACATCCTCGCCCTCTTTTTCATCTGCATCTGAGCCACTACTAGATGGTTTGGCGCCAGAGGTAATGAGATTCTTAAACCACGTACCCTGAAATCGAGGTGTTCCTCTGCCTGAATTGCTCGTGGTATCAGGAACAACTGGAGAACTAGATGTGGCACTCAACAGGAAACGGTATGCCACTTTGCTAGCAGAGACAATCTCTGTCTTGGCTTGTCTAAACTGAAATACAGCAGAGTAAGACAAGCTAATTAATGATGCTGAAGTATTTTTTTCTTCTTAACAAACATGCTGAAGTAGCTGAACTACGCTAAAAATGCAAGAGCTACCACAGAACAAAAACTCTTCTGGAAAATTTTGAGCCACAAGGCAGAGACAAAAGAGCATGCAGTCAAACTGAGACAAAGCAAGCTTGTTTCACTTCTTTTTTTTTCAATGCTCTATTGTTAAAGATATTAACCTTGCAACTAATAAAAGGATACAAACACCATCTTCGTAAAAGATTTCACCGCTTCGTACAAAGGCATGTTTAATGCATCTGCATCATAACTAAAAGGAGAAAGCCAAGTTGAGTTGTATCATGATGAAATTGGAGGGGATAAAAAGAAGGCAACTGGCTAAGTGGTGAAAATTTGTTTAGTCGTCAACACCTAAGAAGATTTAGGCCATAGTACACTTCAAATCTTAGGACCTTTCAAATATGAAAGATTTTACTTCAGATATACCTCACGATATGTCAACCACAAAGATGGGGAATTCACAGTGATAATTTCTTGATCGAATTTTAAAATTATTAACATTCATTATGGTTCTTCTAAGTTCAGGGAAAATTATCTTATCATGACTAAAACTAAAATTCTTTGTCATTGTGAATTTGATGATTTTGCACTTCCATAAATATTCTAAGAGATAAATAAAACCATTCAGGCACCGCTAAAAAAAGTTGAAAGAAAGCTCAGTTTCACAACATTGGATGACAAGATTTTTTACAATGAAAGACCTGAGTAAGAGTAATTCTCAAAACTTGCATGTCTAGGATGAGACTCATTCCCAATATCTCCCACTTCACAGAGTGCGAATACATGCATGGAGACATAAAATCCCGTGCATCTCTAAAAATATCTAAATCAAGAGTGAATATCAAAAGGTTTTCTTCTAAATAGAAGGGCCGATAAAATCAAAAAGTAGAAATTGTAGCCAATAACTCACCCGCAATGCTGTAGTTCCTGCTACTTCCACAGCAGTATCACCAGCATGGGCAAACCGATTAACCCAGCCTGCAATAGAAGGTGTACGGATAACTATTTGCAAAGCCGAAGAAAATTCTCTAAGCAATACGCGACAACAAGTGTAATAGGAAATAGAACAATAACAAAATATTTCAACTTCGTAAATTCCAATCAACAAATTACCCAAAATCAAATTTTGACCAAGTTTATCCCTCATACGTTCGCCCGGTCCATAAAGCAAGACCAGAAGAGAGAAAAGTGAGAGGAGATAATAGAACACTGGGATCACTCTAAGCCTCCAAGCCACTATTGATGCCCAAGCAATGGACACCATTTGGCAAGATCAGGGATATTCTACATCACGGATCCTAGAGACTCACTAATTCCAATGCGTCCTCAAAAGGAGAGCCTAATTAGAGAAGCGCGAAAAATCAAAACATTCGATTATGACCTCTTGCAGAGAGACCAGCCGAACCCCTCTGAAGACTCCTGCTTTTGACTTTCTTGGCTAAAGTCTCTACATATGACTTCCTATTAGTTACAAGCCAATGCTTTTGTTCGCTGCTTCATTGTTGGCTGAAAGGTGAAACATAGCAGAATCTCATCTGACCCTTAGCCCATTTGAAAACTACTGCTTTTGACCTTTTATTTTACAAGATTACTTGCCTAAATCAAATTAATACTCCAAGAAAAAGACAGCATGCCAAAAGTGCTCACACACAGAATTACCACCATGGCCACCATCCAACACAATACTTCAAGGAAGCTAAAAGACATGGTATGACAGTTTACAACACATCCCTAACAAGGACAGTTATAAGAGTGCTATGCATGCCTCAGATATAAGTCTACGACAATAGTCACCAATGGTAACACAGGAAGAATGGAATTCTGACTTTAAAAAGGCTAGCAAACGAACAAGTCTCAAACATTCACCTGGAATCTTGGGCACACCAAGCCTCTCACAGAGCTCATCGCAGAAGTGATTGCAGTTTCTCGATAACAAGTCATATGTATGCCCAGGCCATTCTCTACTGAGCTCTCTCAAAATCTGGTTTACCTTGAAGATTGAAAGGTTGGTGCTTCCAAGAACAATGCATTCACGATACGTATACATTGGATTCTTTCCAGAAGGACAACTAAAAACTCCAGTTCCTTGTTCACAAAATCCAAAAGACCACTCATCATCTCCATAAACCTGGGGAGTATTGAAGTAAACCCAGTCAACTTATCAGAAGAATGGCATGCGAGGATTCACAATCACATGTATAAAACCATTACCTGAAAATAAAACTTAATATAGGAGGAACAAAGGAAAAGATGAAGTAGATGAACTTTATTAACAGTATACAAACAAGAGAGGCATCTAGGTACTTATGTAAAAATCATTGTTATGAAATCTTGTCAGAGGCAGAGCTCCATCTACTCTCACCTTATTCCACGCAAACACCTTAAAAACTCCTATATAAATTCCAATGTGAAAACAGAATCGGTCAGGTCAACTACCCCAAGAGAGAATTCCCAGAATTCGGGTACCGGAAACCTGTCCCCCCCCATGATTCCGTGCAGCTATCCATTAGGTTATGGTGGTTGGCAAGGCAAATAAAGGTTATAAGTAAAGTGCTCCATTCAGAAAGCCACTTGAACAAGGTGAGGCTCATTTGCTAGATAATAGGCAACGAAACCATGAGAATAACTGAATGTAGATTTGCTATAAGACAGACACCAGACCAATACCCTCGACATGCACAAGCTACAAAACACAACTGGAAACAATGGAATAACAGCCAAAACCAGCAATTCCATGCCTATACAAGAAGTCCTACTATATTCAAATCCGTCCATGTTATCTTTTCAGTCTTTTACATATATGTGAGCTCGCTTTCTGATGATGGTTGCGACTGCATAGGATCGAACAACAGCTACAACTTGCTGATTTTGAGACCCAGGTTAGCTTATTACTTCAATCTTCCACTATTACACAGATCCCAGTCAGTTTCTGGCATTGTCCTCGCATAGAAACTGTAGATACACTAATAAACTTGAAGTTCCACAAGCCTAGAGCTTAATGAGGCGAAAGCCGGCATCACACTTCACTTAGAGTCACAAGCCATCCAATCCATCTTAAAACCGTGCAGTTCGCGATAATTTAAACTGTACCCAAGTCAATCGCTACTATGCCAATAACTTGAGAACCACAGTCCGGAAAACATAACCCTAATTCAACTCATGCACATGACCGACAGAGCACATTTCTCAGTCTCTCATAAGAACGTCGGTTAATACTATTAAACCACTAAGTCTCTCCGGATAGACACCACATCTGATCCAACGATGCCGCAATTGGTCGATCACAAACAGAGTAACAAGGAAAACACGAAGCACAAACTTCCACTCATCACCGACCGAACAAAACGATCGATGCCCAAACGAAACCAAAACCAAACCAGAAACAAACTCGAGAGACCGGGCAGTCCACACGCTCCACGCCAAAAACCCTAGAGCGGGATAGATTAGACCATCCGATCCCCCATCGTTCACCACGGCGATTCAAATACGCCGAGGGGAGGCTCACCTGCACAGCGCTGTGGAATATGCCGCCGATCCCCATGGCGTCCTTGAAGATCTTATTGATCTGCATGATCGTGTTGTTCGTCTTCTCCGATCCACTGTTCGTCACGTCGTAGATGTGCAACACCACCTCCGCCATCAGAGGAGGGATTTTCCCGAACCCCGAACGCGCGCTCCACTCTCCGCCGACGGGATTTCCCCAAAGCGGCGCCTCGTCCTCCGGCAGGGATTCCCCGAACCGCGGTCACCACCACCACCAACACCACCACCGGCCGGCCGACGGCGAAAATCCGGCGATCCGGATCGAGATCTCGGGACCTCCGCGGATTCACACTCCGCTCCGAAGCAGCGTAAGCGAAATGCTGGCGATCTTTTGATTCCGGAGAACGCAAACGCTCTCCGCCTCGAAATCCTCGATTTTCGAAAGAGCAGAGGATTTCGATTTTTTTTTTTTTCCTATTTTTTTTTTCTTCAGGGAGGGAGTTTTTAAATAAATAAAAAAAACCAGTTTAATTTTGTGCGCGGACTCGCGAGATACGGATAAATGTTTTTGCTGGTTCGGCGAGGCGGAAACTGACACGGGGGCGCGCGGGGCGGGGGATCGGAATGTCGAGAATGCCCCTGGTCGTCGGCCGGGGGGGGTGGAAATTACGGAAACGACACCGTGGGGTTGTGTGGCTTTCGCTTTGTTTTTTTTTCTGGTGCAGCACGCCGGGTGCCAGCGAGGAGGACGGAGGTGAGTGAAGGGATGCGGGGGGGCAATGATTGATTCTCTCTTGACGGGGGAGGGGTTGGGTCGAGGGGAGGGCCCGCATCGTCATTTCACGTTCCGGTGCAATTATTTCTTTCTCTTTCCGTTCTGTTATTTCAATTTCGGAATCCGTTTATTTCCCCGGGGGACGACAAAAAAAAAAAGGGATCGATGTGGAAAATGCTTTTCAAGAAATAATTAAAATTTAGACTGTGACAATTGTTTCCTCCGTCGACCATAAGTTATGCCTCTCTGAGTGGCTGTGTGGATGAAATGCTTTTTGTTCGTTAATTTTTATGAGTAATGAAAGTGATCATTTTTTTTGGAAAATGTTTTTCGATCAACGGGTGTTCAGTGAAACTATTAGAGATAATTAGATATTTCATTTGATTATTATGTTGATTCTGTGTATCTTTCGAGATTGTGCATATATCTCCGTTTAAATCGTGCATTATCTTGATTGATATAATTACCTTCAACATGCATCTTATAAAACCTATAAATAGGCTAATGTGCTCTTCATTATATAATATATATATCAAATTAAACACAAATTTCATATTTTTCTTCTGCTTTATTATTCTCGAGTTAGTATCATATACGCACCCTCGGGCAAAATAGGAATTCAAATGTCACTTGAATTAGAATTAACTCAACCTTCACATTTTCACTTTTTTTTTACCAAAAAAAACCTTTACATTTTTCCTTTCATTTTCTCGAAAATAACTCGGCGATTCGAATTTTCATTTAAGGCCAAAAAAACGCTCGAGAAACCCATTAAAGTACACCCATTATTAATATGACAATCATTTTTTTTATGTTTAAATTTCTCTGTCGAACTTCACGCAACTTATTAATTTATTGCAATTGAACCAACGCATCAGCACGTTTTACCTTAACTCGGAACACTATCATGCCGATACTATGATTGATAAAGACTTTGTGGAAAGATTAGGATGGTGAGCGATTCGCCCTTTTGTCTAATTGGACCATTACCATTTATGTTAATGGAGTCCGAGTCAAACTTAAGCATCGGCCGCCAATCCTGTAAACAAATCAATGGAGAGAATTTAGGTCAAAAGGATCTAGAAGTGCACAAAGTTCCACTTCTTTGGTAGTTCAAAATGGACAAATTGGTCGATTCAAGAGGGGAAAAACCAAAGAACTTGTCACGAGTCGTGTCTCCAACTTGTACACGTGTCGCCATATTGATACTTATTTACAAGCCACGGATGTGCTATATACTGTGCGTGGGTTGTGAAATTCTGCTCCCTCACTCACGTGTCTCCATTTCGGCCCCTCGAGAAGGTGGGGAACCGAATTCCCCACCTCCATGTTCCCAAGCGAGAAGGGTGGCCATCGAGGTAACCACCACCGGTGCCAGATAAATAAAGATACGAATTTTGTTAACAAATTTTCTTCATGACACATATTAACTGCCTTAATAAAGAATGTTTATCGTATTCAATACATTTTTTTTCTTGTGTTATGTATAATAAGTAGACTGAAAAACGAAAATAGTTCCTTATTAAGTATGGTCAACAAATGTTTCGGTGGGTACCATATAACTAGACCTTATTGCTTATCACAAGAAAACAACAACATGAGGAGGTCTAGTTGACGATCGTGCCCAGCATATTTAATAAGGTAACCCTCGATTTTTTCGAAATACTGATAGTTCATGTCTCGAGAGCAATCGGTGTATTGAAAAGTGCAATTCATAATACGAGTGACACGCGAAATGAACCCATTTGTCCGTTAATAACTCTTCCTTAGTTGATCCAATCCCAGGCTAAATATTGCATCAATTCAACAAATACTTCTGGATTGGTATGTGGGGCATTATTTCAAAATAAATCATTTTAGGGACCACTCTCACCCGGAAACACTTATGGATCACATCATTCACATGGGGTCATGAAGAATTGGAACAGGAAAAGCACTCAGCAGGGAAAAAAGGTGGTCGGTCCTCCCCACATGCATGATGCTGCCAGTAAAAGTGGTCAAGCCACCTATACTTTCGTTTCCTGAGTCATTCCCATTTCTCTTTTGAGTTCAACTTCATTCCTGCTACTCTTCACTTTTATGAGCGTCCTTTGGTGATCGGAACGGAAATACCTAAAGCGAACCCAATCCACGTCTAAGCATTATACGTGGCAGGTAACGTAAGGACAGCCTGACCCAACAAATGATTCAACCCCACTTCAAGTTTTCGTCTCCTTTAACGTGCAGTAGGATGATTGGACCCGAGAACCCATATTGGGCTCACTAGCATCTGTCAAAAAACCGGGTTGAGATCATGTTTCTGAAATGCCATGAATTCTCATGTCGAATTGATCTTGAATCGATCTTCTTCGGCCGGGAAGGCTGGAGGTGAGTTTACAATGTATAAAGATATCGAGTTTCGTCATTCAACAATCTCACTTCACATTGATCTGAAATAACTGCACATGTTTTCCAATGTTCGGATCCAATTTTCCTGTAGACAAGTTTTGCACCAAGTAGAAACCGAGGTTATGTCGTCTTACTCTAAGCACATGCTAGTTTCGGTGGCTTTATGACAGACAAGAGGCCACGGAAGTTAAAATGGCTTGCTGCTCACAAGTGACACAATCAAGATGAAGTACAAAGAAAACTGATATCTTGAAGTGGATAGATGCACCGTTTGCATCTTGAAGTGTCTAGACTCAAGAATTTCAAAGTTTTCGGGGCTTTTGCACTTGTTGCAGCTTGCCCTTCTTCTAACAAGGAGTCAATGACTTCAAGATGAGTTTTTTGCAGGCAATTTCCCACCAGGGATCATCAAGGTTGCCAGATATAAAATAAAGTTACATCAATTAACGATTGATCGGCCATCAGTTATCCAATAGTAGAATGCAAATTGCCCAACTATGTCAGCTATATGCGTCCATTATTTACATGATGAAAAGAAGCTTGGATCAATCAAAAGAGAGAAAAATTTACCTTGTCACATGTTTGGATCGGGCATCCTGGTTAAGTCCGTGTACCAACGCCTTGAATAAAATTCCAATCCGACTTCTGGATTTAGCGGCTGAATCGATAGCTCATCCATGATAGCAGAACAGATAATATATTCACATAGCAAAATAACCCCTCCATGACAATTACAATGGGCAAATAAAGACTATAATGCTACTTAATTAACCATGTAGCATACATCATTTTCTTGATCATGTGCAGCAAACAAGAATTGGCAATAGGTCCTGAACTTCCATTCGGGTTCATAAAAAAGACATTGCGATAATGTGAAGAAACAGCACGGATAAACCATAGACATAAATTAATCAATATAATATTAAGGGAAACTCAATATTTGCGCGGTTCATCATATGTGCCTGCTTAAGAAAGGATGAAAACATCCATTTGTATGGGTGTCTGTGTTGGAGCACAGGCCAAGAGCTATCTCCCATCATTAGTGATTAACTGTGAGAAAACTCGGGTTGTCGATATGTCAGAACTACCATCACCGTCATCTTCTTGGATCCTCACATTGCTTGTTGGAATTCTGGGTATATTTCCGGCAGATGGAACTTCGGAATCAATTACATCACTTTCTTCACGAGGCTCTCTCACCCGACCATTTTCCTGAAGCTGCAGTGCATATTCCAGATTCCACAAAACATCACCCATGGTTGGCCTATCAATTCCATACTCCGCAAGACATTTCTCGGCCGTTTCTCCATACTTCTTCAAAGAGCTGGGTTTGATCTGTCCAGCAAGATGAGGGTCCACAATTTTTTCAAGCATTCCCTTCTTCTGCCACTGCATTGCCCACTCGGCTAGATTCACCTGCTCCCTCGCAAGTAATGGATCAACGGCTGGTCGAGCACAAAGCACTTCAAATAGCACAACTCCAAATGAGTAGACATCAGATTTATCTGTAAGCTGTTGTCTTCGGAAATACTCTGGATCGAGATAACCAAAACTACCCTTTACACCGGTACTCACATGCGTCTCATTGAGGCATGGACCAGACCTTGAAAGACCAAAATCAGCGACCTTGGCCACATAATTCTCATCGAGTAGAATATTAGTTGATTTGATGTCACGATGAATTATTCCTTGTGCTGAACCTGTGTGGAGGTAGTGAAGGCCTCTTGCTGCGCCAATGCATACTTCAAGGCGTTGCTTCCAGGACAGAGGCGGAAGTCCTAATCCATACAAGTGGCTTTTCAATGAACCCTTCTCCATATACTCATACACTAATATCATTTCCGACTGTTCTTCACAATACCCAACAAGTGAAACAAGATGGCGGTGCCGGATTTTCGATAGAACAGTTATTTCCGTCTGGAATTCAGGAAGACCCTGCCTAGATCCTGGCACACCTCTCTTCACAGCAACTTTTGTGCCATCTTTAAGAACACCTTTATAAACCATACCAAATCCGCCTGAACCGACAATTAAATTCTTGTCAAAGTTTTTGGTCGCCAGTTGTACATCAGCAAAAGGTATCCTCAAGCTGAGGTATCCATTTGGGCCTGGAGAGGTGTTGAGAGTGCCTACAGACATTTTGCTACGTGAACTGCCCCCATAAACACGTAACTGTGTCCAGGCGACACTTTCTGAAGGCCTCCGTTTCGGTTTTTTCTTCTTGCACTTCATCGCCAGCAGAATTGCCACTACCAACAAAAGCATAATACCAAAGCCACCAACAGAAGCACCCACAATCACCCGGACCTTTTTCTTGTGTGATCCAGAAGGTGCAGTCACAGAGCCCACCATCTTCATTATCTCAGCTCCATTCAGAATAGCATTAATCCTCGTCGTGGTGCTTAGATCAGAAGGGCCAACACTTATCTGCATGACCCCCGATCTATAGGAATCCACAACAAAGTCGATGTAGTAAGGAGAAGCAAGCACGTGATACGTAAGAACTGACAAATCCAGGTTATTGTAGGCAGAGTACCCATTTATATAGACATCAAAGTAGAGTTGATTAAGAGCACGACTGACTATATCGCAGAAGTGCAGTCGGACCAAGTACCTTCCATCACCTGAATCCACAGGAAACTCCCAGGTGATATTGAACTTTGCGCTTAGAGGTAAATTATCCCTATTCATCTGTTGAGCAGTCATGTATACGTCATCCGGAGCTATCTCGGGGGTCGCACCTCCCTTCTGGTAGTTTGGCGGGTCGGTGGCCACCCCACGTTTCGCAGCTGACTTGAGGATCAGATAATCATCATCAGGGATCCAAGTCCTCCACAATGTATCATTGAATGGAGTCAACTTAGAGCCACCGACGTTTATCCTATGAATTGTCTCTAATACCTGCGATGATAAATTCTTATACTCTTGGGTCTCGGTGGCTGTAATCAATCTAGCTCCCACATCGATAATGAAGTCCTCCGGAGCCGAAAACACCTCGATCGCATTAACAAACCCAAAAGCAGAACCACTGGCCGGGCTAAGCACAATTTTAAGAACCCCCTCCTTTATATAGATAATAAACTCTTTGAGAACAGTCACGTTGGTGCTAAAATCACTCAAGACCGCGAACCCGTCAACCGAAACACCGAAAGTTGCAACCTTCAAGTCAAAATTCCGAGCTACGAAGGGAGAGAAGTGGAAACGTACCAAGTGAACGCCACTCTCGTTGATCTTGAACTCGTAGGACGAAGCGCCGGTGAAGACTCTGGCGGTTCGGTAGAGGACCGGCGAATTCGGAGGAGGGTTTCGGTCGGCGACCGAAACGGACTCGTCCCCCGAGAGGTAAAGCGAGCCGGGCCTCGCCGAGTCGCCCACGAAGACGCGATTGTCGACCGAGGCGTTGGCGGTCGACCCACAGCTGAGGAGGTAATTGTCGGGGGGAGTGAAGGGTGCGGAGAAGGGCAGGAGAGAGAGCAAAAAAGCTAGAGCGAGGAAGCGCAGCGTCTTGGTTTCCATGAAGATGGCTAAGCCCGCAAGAAGTCGGCGTTGAAGAAGAGCGAAGAGCAGCGAATTGTGGAGCGCAATGGAGGGTGGTTCTTGAGAAATGGAGGATGATGGGGGGTGGAGAGATTGAGCGCAGGAGCTTTGCTTTTGGGGCGTCTGCTTGTTTGGACTTGGAGCGAGTGGAACGGGAAGAACTGAGAAGAGGAGAGGTGGAACTTTGTCCAAAAGGGGGACACTTCGACAGTTAACTCCCTCTCGTTTTAAATGCTTCTTCAATTCTGGGCAGGTCACCCATGGCGGCAGATTAAGAAAAAAATAGAAGAAAGTGAGACTGATAATCCATAAATTTTTCACTCAGCGCGTAATACCGGTTTTTTTTCTTAAATTTGTTTAATGCGATTCTTAAATATTTTTAGATATTTAATTTGAATTTCTAATTTGATCGAACATCAAGTTAGACGTTATTTGATGACATGAAATATTTCAAGCTGATTTGGGTTTTTAGAACGATGGATCATTTGCGATATGCTAACACGTGACCGGAACTCCATCCCTTTTCCATGTTCTTGCATATATGTAGCTTTGTTTGCCGTCTATAGTTGAAATTTAGCAGGTTGAAGGGCAAGTCTATAAATTCCGTTAACACGAACTAACGTAAGGGCGGCATTGTTCATGGATCATATTGAATGAATGAATAGTACGTTGAACATTGAATCAAAGTTGAAAGACTATTAATGTTATTTTTCGTAAAAAAATATTCGGTTTTTATAAAAAATAGAAAATTCCCTCTTCTATTCTACTCCACCTAAAAAAGAGAGATTTACCATCCATGATCTAGCAGCACGCAATAACGTTTCATGAACAAACGATCACTAGTTCAAACCGATTTATAACAATACCCCGTGTGTCTGACTTTTTGTGAACGGGTTTCAATCCCTGGTATCACTGTCGAGTTATGATAACAAGCTCAGCTGCACGATCTAAAATATTGTTTAAAACAAAGTGTCACGGTATGTTGCACGCAGTCATAGCCAACACAAAAGTATACTCTATGCTCTTTGGTATACTTTTGTTAGCAGAAAGAATAGTGGCATGTACATGCTCTTGTGTGAACATAATTTCACCAAAAGGCACAGTACTAGTATCTAGGTAAATGAATATTAAACCTATCCAAGTAGCCGGCCCATTCTGGTTGGTCGCTCCTTGGAAGTCATCTTGGATGGTGAAGTGTGAAAGTCGTCTAAAAGACAGCAAAAACTCCAGCGCATGCACGATCTCTGTACTCCGTAGCTTACTTGCATGGACCGTAATAAGATAATCCTTTTTTTCTGGTGCGCGTTCTTAATCACTCCCGATGCATGAAACCGATCCTTCTCCTCACGCTCTCGCACGAAACCGACACGCGTTTCGGCGATATTAGCTGGCTTTCGAAACATGACCCGAATTAAAGAAGCTGAATTCGGGTGTCGAAATCCTAGACACGCAAGGCGCCGTTCGAAACGATCTGATCCTGCGAGGCGCTGCGAAGGCAGACTTCGGTGGCAAGAATTCCTACCCGGGACGATGTGACATCCAGGGTGGGGGGGCGGCGTGAGATTGTCCGAATTCCAGCCGAACTTTCGTGGCTGCTTCAATGTCCTTACATGTGCTTGGCTTTCTATTCCACCTACCACTCTGTTTGACGCGTGAATGGAGGAGGAGGATCCGCGAAAGGGACCGAAAACGACGTGGGATCGTATTCTTTTGTTTTCCCTCGCTTTCTCGCTTCGCACATTGCAGAGCTGTCTTCCAACATATGTCGCATTATTCCAGAAACGGGCTCAATAATTGTCCACCAGACTACTGAAAATATAACGGGATAACGGCACAAATATTTTTCGAACTTTGATTTAATATGTAATGTGATCATTTGACTTTTAATTTTTCAATGTGATTCATGAAATTTAGCTCAATGCGTAATTTATTCAATGTATTCTCTAAATTTTTTGTACATGTTTAAGTTAGTCCATGGACTATATAAAAATGTTCAATGTCATCCTTCCATAAATTCAAGTTCAGGGACAACATTGAAAATGTTCGTGTAATCCAGGGACTAGATTGAACAGGTATCAAAAGTTCAGGGACCACAATTAACAAATTGAAAGTTCATGGACGATATTGCACATTTAGCTAAACTTCAAGGGTCGCATTAAATAAATTAAAAGTTCATGGATTATATTGTACAATGAGCCAAAATTCAGGAACCATATGTATTAATTTATAAAAAAAATAGTGATCTTGACTTCATCGCGTTTCTGTTTAGATCTCCCCTGCATGATTTAAACGGACAAACGGTCCACTTCCACATACATCTTTTGTTTTTCCTTTCCCCCTTTGGGTGATTGGGTACCAGACACGGTTGACTTGTCCAAGAGGCGATGAAAAACGTCAAACTTTAGGACAGACCGTCAACCCACATGACTCAACAAACTTTGATCTTTGCTCTCTCTTTCCAACTCAGGTACATACGCACCTTAGCACGTGACCCATCTTTGAATTGATCCATCGGAGTCGGCATTGACTAACGTGTTCTAAATGGCCTCGAAAAAAGGTTCGCGGGTGTTTGATTAGTTAGCAATCGTATCCTTCTTCTCTCGGCTTTCGTTCGAATTGGATCGTTCTTTTCGACGCGTATTATGTGGTTGGATTTATTTATCTTAAGAAGTTCGTATCGTAACGTTACCTTATCGATTCACAGGTTGCCGTTACATAAACTGAATGTCACGTGAAATGCTACAGTCTCATGAATTACTGTGGTACATGCTATAGTACTGCTACAGTAACTTAAAGTTTCTCTATAAAGGGAGGAATTCAACGAAGGACGATGCAAGCAAGTCTTCAAAATAGTAAAAAGGGAAAACAAAATGGAAGAAGACTTCTTGCTCAACAAGTGTTTAGGGTTTCCTTGTCTCGTAGAATCTCCAGGAAATTTCTCTGTCTCTTCATATCTTTTCTCCGTGACTACTACAATTAGGGTTTCGAGTCGTGAGAGTTCGTTCTTAATTTTCACCTGTAATTCTTCTCGACCACACAGTGAAGCAACTCCTCCTTTGTCCGCAAACATAGTTGAATTGCCAAACTACGCAAAAATACGCATGTTGCTGGTTTTTGCTTCATTTCTTGTTCAAATTTTCGATCATCTTGCCTCGTTTTGCATGCACTCTCTGTACCCACTTCCTCCCGACATGAATAGAACAAAGTGAACGGCCATGTGCATGTCAGCTAGCACTCCTTTTCGATGTTTATCCTTGTATTTGAAGCATACGTACATGTAAAAAGCACGCTTAGCTGTACAATAAAATCTAAGAATATATTTATTAGAAGTCCTAAAACTTGCCTTCCCCCCACCCTCACCGACCCCTCTCGGCGATGGTGGGGAGGCGGCGGCGAGGAATGCAAGCCCTCTCTCCCCACCTGTCCTTCTTCTCCTTTTTTAATTTTATTTTTAGCTTATTTTTAAAATTTAATTTAAATAAAAGTAGTATTAAAAATCAAATTTAGGCTAAAACGAAGGTCCGAAGGTCCGAGTTTGGTAAGCCCATCACCGCAAAAAGTTTTTCCGCCACAAAATATGCTCCAGCTAGATAATTCGGCACGGTCCGTTTCGAGGTTGGTCCCATTATCCTTCACTATATGTCCGACGGCCCGGTCAGCCCGCCCCTCAGTCGGCTACTTTTAGCCCCGTCTTGCCCAGCCTAGTGCTCAAGTCCAGCCCGATTCGACAGCTTACGTTCGAATTTGTATGAACAGGTTTTGGAATTGGACAGTACGTTTGAGTGGGATCAAAAGCGGAATTGGTCCGGCCCGACCGATGGACTTACCTAAAATTTTCCCGGAGCTCGGTCCGACCCGGTCCGGCCGCCGCTGTTCGACCTCAACTTCTCGTCGCCGGAACCGGCCATCGCAACGCGCCGTTTTGTTCCCGGACGCCGCCCGCCGCTGTTAAACCTGCATAAAGAGAAAGAAATATACAGCAATAGCATTTTCAGCTCGGCGACTTTATATTCTCTTCTTCTTCACTCCGAAGGTCTCAAGCTCTCGACTTCATCGATCGTCGACTCCTCCCGGTGCTCGCGGCGAATCACCTTCGGTCCCGCGTCGCTGTAAGCTCATCGAATTCATCGCTGATCTCTCTATTCAATTCTATGTTTCTGCGATCGGATCCGTCGGTTTCGTCGGACGTCCTCGCGATCGCGGCTGCGACACTCAAGTCTCGATTTTGTTTTCCCGTCACATCGTCTCATCGGTTCCCGCATGTTCTGGTCGTTCCTAGAGACGTGTAGGTTTCTAGGGTTTTGATCGTCGTCCCCCCTCTTGATTAGGTTAATGTAGGTGCGAATCAGTTATGGGTGTCTCTACTCGCGGAACTTGTCGTTTGGTTTACTGGATAGCAGCGATTGCTCAATGATGATTATCTCCGCAATTGCTGCTTAGGTTATTAGGGTTGGCATCGTAGCGGATTCATTTCGTAGAGTACCTATGGTGCATTGGCGAGAGGCTCTTTGGGCGCTTGATTTTCCGTTACCAATTAGCGGTAATCATCGTCTGAAGTATCTCCGAGGAATAATTCGTGTGTCTTGTATTATGATTTGTGGAATTAAGCTTTTGGAACATTTAGGATCTGTTTTTTTCGCGGAAAATGGATGATTTGAAAAATATTTTCTAAAAAATGATCGCCTGAAATGATTGATCAATTAAAGATTTTTCATTGTGGACAACAAGTTTTGTCTAAACATTTTCGCAGACAATGTAATTTCTTTTCGTTCGTTCATTTTGTAAGCGATACGAGCGATTATATTTAGGAAAATGTTTTCCAAATCGTTTATTTTCTACAAAACAAACACACTTTAAGCTTATGGTCATCTTCCCTCTGTCTCTCCCCAGAAAAATTTGCTTGATGTTCTTGACCTCTGATGCATCTGACTGCTTTTAGCCAGTAGTGAACTAAATGATGCAGTCTCAGAGAGTATATGAAGGAGTTAGACAAAGGCACAATGAGTATGCGGATGATTAGGAAGCTGCCACACACTTCCAAAAACTAATCTTGGGATCAATGCTTAGTTTTAGGTACTCACCACGAATAATTGAGTGTGTTGAATAACACATCTTCATTCTATTGTGCTTGCTGTATGCTTGTGAGTGTGTTCGTGTTATTCAAACTGCCAGAGCATTTTTTGATGTAGCAATAAGTTGAACTGCTTTTAGTGGTTTGAACAGACATAGAATGCTCTAATTCTCTTTATATACACGTTCACATTCAGGAGGATCTGGTCTGTGATGCTCTAGAAGTTACCGCTGTACCTCAGCTGAACATTTAACTTCTGCCCAAATACATTGCTTCGTCATGGTGAGAAAGTATCCTTATTATTTGCTCGTTGATGTATAATCTTCAAATTTAGCATTGCTTGTCTCACTGACCAATGCATGAAGGAAGTTTGACTTCATTGGAAATATGGTATGGCTAATGCAGGACCCTAATCGATACATTGATGAGAAGTCTGAAAGTAGACTCTATATTGGCAATCTTGATTTGAGAATAACAGAGTAAGGAAATATGTGGCCTTTGATGTTTCTGATGCTTTTAAAAACTACGTGAATGACTTGATAAATTGAATGGAGATATTTGTCTTGTATCAGGGCTACCCTAATCAAGATGTTTTCTCCGTTTGGGAAGATTTTATCAGAGGATTTCCTTTGGCATACTCGTGGCCCAAAACGAGGAGAGCCAAGAGGCTTTGCTTTCATTCAGTACAGTAGCAAAGAGGTGAGTTGCTGCTTGTCATACATTTCTGTCCGGAGCAATATCTGATTATTCTATTTAAAGTGAGCATGCAGGAAGCTGAGCTTGCAAAGGAGAAGATGCATGGGAAGTTGGCCTGTGGTCGTCCTCTAGTTGTCCGTCTTGCTTGTGAGAAGTATCTGGTGGAAGCGAAGGAGAACTCATCCAAGGTAGGAGGTCAACTTGACAAGACTTGCATATCTGGTAGTAGTTCTGGACAGATGAGTAAGAGCGCGAAGATAGCTGCAATCAAGAGCAAGTTGAAAGCTTTGGAGGAAGAAAACCCCAATGGTAAGAAGCAGAAAATAAGCTGACCACATTCTGTGGCAAATCGAGCTCCACTAACTACATTTCAGGAGTGGCCCATGTTCCAGAAATAGTCAAGGAGCCACTTGCTGCCTTGCGGACTCGAGATATGGGATGTTTTTGGGGTTGAAGGTTGGAACTGGGTGGGGTTGAATGGCCGTTGTAGATCTCAAGCTCTGTGATGTAGGGAAACATTGACAATGTATATCCAGAGGTATCGGTGGTTGTCGTAAATCCTGTGGCGGATATTGGATTGCTTAATTCAGGAAATTTCTCAAACTCCTTTCGCAGCTTTATATGTCCACACAAACTTTCAACACTCTCGGAGGTGACGAGTTCTCTCGTGCCTTGGTCGAACTATTGCAGGTCCTCCGGTATCGCCATGGTGGCTCTGAAGTCAGAGCCTACCTCGGCTGATTAACCGGGATTAATCTCTCTCGCATTCATATGACGGGTGCGTGAGTTGAGGGCTGTTTATTTGTGGGGGGTGCTCTTTATTTCTTATTGGAATAATGCTGCAATGGCACCAAGGTTGATGGCTCGGAACGGAATTGCAGTCGGGTATTGTCGCGATCGGAAAGCGATGGTGTTTCCGGCATGTGGAGGCTCTGTGTCTTGACCATTGTTGATTGATGAAGAGCGATTTCCTCCAGGAAGGATGAAAATGGACGGTTCTTTGAGACACATACCGAACGGCCGTGATGTTTGTTCGTCGATGATGATACGTCGACTTTTGGTGCTAGTTACTGCATAGCAGAGTAGATGCATTTGACCACAACATTACATCGATTAGATATAATAAAATCTATTAAATTTTAAATGGAGCAATAACAGAGCTTTACACCATTCTTTAAGCCATTTTGCTTGGTCGGCAATGTAAGAACTCTTTTCTCTTAACGCTCGTGGTCACATTGTTATCTTTTCATCTCTTTATTGTTTCATCTCTCTGTTTGTGACTCCTCATTCACTTATTTTTTCATATGTAAAAATTATACCGGGCTAAGGACTAAAGCGATGTAAGAAGTAAATGTAGGCGGAATATATAAGACAACATTTGAAGTATATCTATAAAAAAGAAGAAGAATGTATACACGGTATGAACATTATCTATAATCGTAAGAATATCACGTCACAATCATGGAGCAACTATTGGCGGAACCAAAAGGGCTCCCAAAAGCAGCTTCAGCCAAATAAAATCGCTGCAATCACCAAAAGCAGGTTATATTAATCACACTATAGTAGCATCACGAGTGTGTGTGTGTATACATATATTTTTTATATGTATGCATAAGTATAAATTAGCTTCTTTCAATACTATGTAGCAGACCTATGTTTCTACTTCAGTTGTCCTTTCATTATAATACGAGAGTAATTTCAGAACAAAAATATTAAGGTATTTTATTTTTGGGAATATTGCTCGTTAGAATAAGTATTGTCGGTTTGTCCCGAAAACGTGCGGCAGCTTCGCGGCCACTTCCATTTACAAGTGGAAGTGTGCCGTCAACATTCGATCACGGGCGCTCCTGCGCGAAAAAGCTCGGCAGCCTCCGCGTCGATGGCGTCGCGATGCTTGCTCTCGCAGCTCGCCGCCTCGCCCGCTAGGGGTCCCGACCTCCGTCAACCGCCGCGTCGTCACCGCTCGCTTTCCCGCCAAAACCCCATCAACTTCGACTTCGCCAGCGCGATCGGCGGCTCGCGGCTGCGGCTCCAGCTCCCCGGGAGCAACCGGAGCGGAGCGTCTCGCGTCGGCGATCGGGGCGCCGGCTCGATTCGGGCGGTGACGGTCAGATCCCAGCTGAGTTACCCTCTCATATCGCCTCACGATAAGTGGGGCAGCTGGACTGCTCTCTTCGCGGCCGGCGCTTTCGGCATCTGGTGAATAATCCTCGTTCGTCTCCTCTCTTCTTTGCATTTCGCTGTTCCGTCAAAAAGAAAAAAAATGTCCGCTTGGAAGTTGTAGAGAAGTTGATAGCCGTCTCGATGAAAACGCACAAATTTAAGGTGACAAGAGGCGTTTGTGCTTGTGCTTGTGCTTGTGCCGACCGTGTAGAGCAGAGGGTGTCTGCAGACTTTTACTAGAATACATGGCGTTTGGCGGTGCTTTCGCTCGAGCTTAGTTAGGCAATAACAACGATGTACTTTTTGGACCTGCGGAAGTGGAGACATTGTTTTGTCTCGTTCAAAATTTCGAGGAATCGATAGACAGCTGAACAAAGTTTCGTGCTTTATGCCTGTACTTTAGTCGTGATGAGGACTTCCCTGATTGTAAGGTCCGAGAAGACCAAGATCGGGAGCTCTTTGAGTGGGGCCCTGGTGAGCACTTTGGTTGGGCTCGCCGCCAGCAATTTGGGGATCGTTTCGTGCGAAGCTCCGGCTTATAAGATCGTCTTGGAGTTTCTGCTCCCTTTGGCTGTCCCCTTGCTGTTGTTTAGGGCTGACCTGCGCCGCGTGATCCAGTCTACCGGGAAACTTCTCTTGGCTTTCTTGCTGGGATCTGGTATTCTATGTTGACATCCTCTTGTATACTATTTTGCTTACAAGTGTCGATGAACTATCTATTTTACGATAAAGTACTGTTGATCGTGCGTGATGAAATCCATCATACTCTATTTGACATTGCCGTAAATTTTATGAACAACCGATTATTAATTTCCCCGTGCATGTATACAACAGTTGCCACCACGATTGGGACTGTAGTGGCATACTTTTTGGTGCCAATGAGATCACTGGGGCAAGATAGCTGGAAGATAGCTGCTGCACTTATGGCAAGACATATTGGTGGAGGTAAACCCTAGAAAAGCATAGAAAATCAGCATGATTTTGTCGGTTCTTGAATTAACTTGAACTTCCTTCTTCAATTGAAGTTATTCCTTTCAGTTCCACTCGTAAGTCTGCTTCTTGCTCCATGACAATGAGGGACGCAAGTCAAAAACAGAAAATGACTCTTTATTATGACCATATCTGAACTCATTTGTGACAAGGAGAAGTTTGTTACCACCCCACTTTGCAGCTATGTTTGTGTCATGAATATCACTCTAATGAATTGTCTTCTTGAATTAAAGAAAATATGTCAGCACAAGTTATTTCAGCATCTCTACAATGTTGAATTGCTGAATCATATTTTCCATGTTGTCAAAGCTTGTAATGGTCTGCAAATGGTGTTTGTACTTGTTTTGTTATGAACACTTGTCATTGACTTTTTCAGTCTGCAGCTGATGATCATTTTTGCACCTTGTTGTCTCCAGCTGTCAATTATGTTGCAGTAGCCGATGCTCTTGTTGTTTCACCATCAGTTCTAGCTGCTGGACTAGCTGCAGATAATGTCATTTGTGCAGTTTATTTCACCACATTGTTTGCATTAAGCGCAAGAGTACCTCAAGAGTCTTCATCTGGCAATGGTGGGTTGAATTTAATTTATCTCATTTTTACATTTACTGCAAGAGAAATCTAAATGTTAATGGTAGATATAATAATTTTAATCTTGATATGATAGCAGTGTTGATCACCTTTGTTTTCGCATGATCAATAATTCCTTCTTCCTAGTTCCATCTTTAGTTGAAAGCATTTTGCTTCAGTTTAGCGGATGGCATCTCATATAAGCTGATAATATGGCCTCTTTGCAGGAGGAGACTCTGTAAATGGTGCTCTGGACACAGAATCAGGACCTGGTAACAAGCTACCTGTTCTACAGAGTGCTACAGCCATAGCTGTGTCCCTTGCCATCTGCAAAGCAGGAACTTCGCTCACGAAATATCTTGGTGTTCAAGGGGGTAGTTTGCCTGCGATAACAGCAATTGTTGTTATTTTAGCAACTCTTTTTCCTACTCAATTTGGCAAGCTGGCACCATCCGGTGAGGCTCTGGCTTTGATATTGATGCAGGTGAGTTGTTCCATAGCGCTTTATGTTTTCTTGATTATTAATATTGCTTTAATGTTTGTCTTCGAAGCCATTATATGGCAGAAAACTGAATCAGGTGTATGGAAATATTTAAATTTAGAGTACTAGAACAAGAAAAGTAGAAAAGGAAGTTAGGCAATTATCCATCATGGTTCAGGATATTTTTTTGCTTTAGCCGTTTAAAGACTCTTTCATTTCATTCCAGCCAAATTTTTACTTGACGCAATGGAAAATCTCTAAAGTTTGTGTCCTGCTTGTAGCCCCAATTTCAGTCCTCAACTATTTCAACATGATAGCATGTTTCAATTGATTTCAGCCTAATGAAAATAAAACAAAATTATAACAAGTACACTTTTTTCCCCTTCACAATGAATAAATGGCAATTCACTGATTTTTCACTGTTTGCACAACCAACATCAATCCATCTGGGAACATCATGTAGCCTCAAAGTTTTAGCCAATCAACATTCCTTGTTATCAAGCTATGACTACTTTTTTCAGTACATGAAAAATCTCTTTATTGATCACCTCCGTTATTCCAAGAGCTGCTGTATGAACTTTCAGTTTATCGAGCTTTAGGAATACCCTCTTTTTCCAACTGCCTGAAGTATTTTTTTTGGCTGACTGCTTTGGTTCTCTATCAAAACCAGGTGTTCTTCACTGTTGTCGGTGCAAGTGGAAACATATGGAGTGTCATCAATACAGCGCCTAGTATATTTATGTTTGCCCTTGTCCAGATTACGATCCATCTTGCTGTGATCCTTGGATTAGGAAAGCTATTTGGCTTTGACCTGAAGCTGTTACTTATTGCTTCCAATGCGAATGTCGGCGGCCCAACAACAGCTTGCGGAATGGCAACAGCAAAAGGGTGGAATTCTATGGTTGTCCCTGGGATTCTTGCTGGAATTTTTGGAATTGCAATCGCCACTTTTATTGGCATCGGTTTCGGTGTAACCTTTTTAAAATTCATGTAAACTGTAAGGTAAGGTACTTAGCGGTCATATCAGCTACTGTTTAAAAATCCAGATCAGTGCCATTTTACCTCCTCTCTTTGTCAATTCTGCGACTTCTAAGGTAAAGTCCATACTCATGGGGATTGAATTCCTATTTATGGGGACAAGATCATGAATCACAATCCACTTCCTACTTAACACGAAAGATGAAATGCATCTACTAAATGACATGACGGTTTTGTTAAACGTTGCCCTCTTGAGAAATACTTCGAATGCTCGAACTGTATAGTGGAGGGCCAATGCATCTAAGGAATTAGGGATCCTTTCGGAGAACTATTTATATAAAATGTACCAAGGAAGATCAAGGATTCTTGCTTCAGCGAAATGTTTGCAAGCAGGCAACGCTGCCTGGACTGTGCCAGTTAAGCATTTCCAAATGGAATACGCAAAATCCTTGCTTCATATATTCTTTGATTCATATAGTTCATACCCAGGAAAGGTTCACTTGGACCACCACAAAAATACAAAAAAGAGCCGTCACAGGTCTGACCCATAAAGAGCATCACATTACCTACTCCAATACTTACGAAGCTTGGCCCAGCTTGAGATTTTCTACCTAATAGCGTCGAAAATAAGAAATTCAATGCTTCAGCAAGCTTAGCACAATTGTGCCAAACACATCCTTGATTCCCAGGAAAGGTTCACTTGGGCCAAAACAAAATGCCAAAAAGAGCCGTCACAGGTCCGACGGAGCAACATTCAATGTCAGCAGCACATTTCCTTCTCCCATTACCTACGGAAGCTAAATTCAGCTTGAGATTTTCTACATAATAGCATCGAATATAAGAAATTCAATGCTGTAAGCTTGGTGTTTCCATCAACATGAAATTCACCATGTCCTGGTCCTTCCAGTGCATACGAATGTTTGGTGATTTTGGACTGCTCGGCGGCTGTGGGGAGTCAAGTTCGCTTGACAGCTCATGTTTTGGAGGAGATCTGACTGCTGAAATCTGCAGCTCGGCCATCTGTTCATATTGCAAAAGCCTTGAAGGGCTCTTCTCACGCTGCAACAGGGAAAATATTGCCCGCATAAAACTAATGTTCCATGTGTATAACCACCACAGAGGATGAAAAATAAACAGGAAGCAGCAAAAGAAATTAGTTGTTAACAGACCTTCAATCTACTGCTCAGTGGAGACAGGCAAGGAGTAGAGACAAGCCTGTCGCGAGAACCTGTAAGGAAGACGTCATTGAGTTCTTGAAATAAGGAGAAATATGAAAAACATTAAAAAGCCAAGCGAATACACTTACTGAGTCTGAGAGTCTCCAGAAAAAGGTCCATGTCCATGGCAATGGTCTGCTGTTTTATACACTCCTGGTGGTTGTGAAGAAATTGTTCCTCGGCAATTAAACCAGTATCAATTGGTTCCTCTGCTAGAACATTCATCTTCACGGTCTTCTTTGATGCCTCGGATACATGGGGCTTCGCTGAATTGGAAATATCAGAAAGTGCTCTTCTGCTCCTTGTCTGCGCTTTGTCCGAGGCTTTAGAAGTACTTCTCTTTTTGGTTAGATCACTTGGGACCATGGAAGAACCAATATCTTCATTAATCAGAGCGAAACTTTTCAAATTCTGTTTCTTGGACACCTGGTTAAGAGAAGGCTTCCCTGCATTTGACAAGTCACCGAGAGGTTTTCGTCCACCAACCCCTCCTTTCTTCTGCACTTTCATCACTTTAGAAATTTCCCCTAAAGATCCTCCTGAACGATTAGAAAACACGAGACCCAATAAACCCGGAGATCGACACCGAAACTTCAAGCACGAGAACCAAATAACAGTGTAGAATTTACCATTGTAGTTAGCATTGAAGTTCTGATCTAGAATCAACCCACCACGCCCTGAAGCCATCGTGGACCTTATCGACAAATTTCAGATCTGTACTTTGCAAAATGAATCAAAATTACAGAGACAAAAATCGATAGACAGTATGCAAGTGTGCAACAAACAAAGATGATTATGTTTGAAACAAAGTGCTTCCACAAGACGGACTACGGGTTCGTGCCAAGGAAATAGCTAGGAGGGGTCCATCAATTTTACTTTAAAAGGTTAAAGATTGAGGCTTTTTAGAATGCATCTGAATTTCCTTGAACACCACAAAGATGAAGCCACAACTGCAACCGTAGAAATTCCGAAAAACAACAATCTATCTTCAAGAGATACGCACACCGATACCACCCAACTACAATACATTATCCGAAAGCCCAGACGAAGCCCTCGAATCGACTAGGGCAGAAAACCCAAAAATCTTTTCAAAAAGCCCAGAAAGGCCTCTTCGCCGCAATCGAAGAATTCCAAACTTCACGAACAACAGCCATTTCTCAGCGTCTCGAAGAGGAGACAAACATAAAAGAAAGAGACGACGTTTCAGTCGCCACATCCAGACTTCCTCTCGCTTCTCGCGACCATTTCCAACCAAAACATTCGTATTCGCGTGCGTTCGATTTCTCGAAAAACCTAGTACAGCGTGAAACACATTCGCAAACTCACCGAAAAGTACCGAGGAAGCAAGAGAAACTCACGGAAGCGTTTCAGTGGAACCGATGTCTTCGCTCCGTTGCTCTCGAGGGAGGATGATCGATCGCAAAATTCCGATTTCTGCTCGGCGGATTCTGCCCTTTTTCTCTGCGATTCTCGTGAGATTTTTGGCGTTGGAGTTTCGTGAAAGCGATCCAGACGTTGAACTTCCCCCATTGATATATATGCAGTTGCGCGAGGGCGGAGGCGGAGGTCCAACGGTAACTTGCCCCCCTTTTTACGTAAATACCCCCCAAATAACGGCACAATTACGAAACAAGTTTCTGGGTCTGGTAATTTTTTTGTTTTTGTTTTTACTTTCCCTGATTATGTTTATTTCTTCCCCATCCATTTTGGAGAATATTACTTTTAGAAATATTAGGGGGTTACGAATATCCATGTCATTAAGGGCTCTGATCTGTTATTTATGATTCACGTAAATCGGGATCCAAATATGTTTGACCTTATTTGGACACCCCGTGAATTTATGAGCATTCCAATTATACTTAATCATACCCTGTAATCTCAGATTGATTGATACCAAAATTGAATGTTGATTATATAAATGTCCAGTGATAACCTGCTAACACGTGATTGATAACTTATTACATAATTCCAAGTTGACGATACACTGCAGTGGATGCCGTCCTTCGGAGAGTCCCAAGTCTCGACTTCTTTTCTTGTCGAAAGGGAAATTTTCATTTCATATGAAAGAGAGGTAACATCATCTGAAGATAAAAATGTAAATCCCATAAAGCAAGTAATTCTAAAAAGTGAATCAACTTGATGCCTGCAGAGACTCGCTCATTGCACAAAATCGGATTTGCCATAGTGTCAAAGCATAACCGGCTGCCGATCACCGAATATCTCATCATCATCGGTGATGAGCTCACGATGAGAATTTTCTCTCCAATAGATACTACTTTGCCAAAAGGTGCTGCGCGCCTAGATGTGACATCCACGACACTATCACCATATAAAGACAAACAACAACACCAACAAGTTGAAAGAGCACAATAAAAGCCTTGTAAATCCCAAATTTATATTTAGATCGGGATAGAAGAGCATCCAAATCTTAATCTAGCTCTAGATCAAGAGAGAATAGCTGCAAAAGAAATAATAGTTGATCTCAAAATCACTTTCAAATAAGCCGACTACTGAAAGCAACAACAGAAGAGCCTTGGTGCGGAACAAGCACCGGAGCCAAAGCAACATATTCTTTCAAGGCGCTCGCACCTCGAACTTTTGAGTTCACAGTACAAAACTCTCCACTTTCGTAGAGGATGTCGATGGCGTCATCCGCAAAATCAATGGAGAAGTCTTGAAAAGGAGGAGATAGAGAGATAGTGAGACAGAGAGGGAGAGGGGGGAGTCTCACGGGGATGTTGCTATAGAAGGAGGGCTGGACAGTGACTTCAGGAGAAGAAAGGAAACCTTATCAAGAGCTAGTTTGATCCATCTATGGAGATGTCGCAAATCGATAGCTTGGAGGGCTAGACAGTGACTTTAGGAGTAGGGAGGAAACCTTATCAAGAGCTAGTTTGATTCGTCTATGGAGATGTCACAAATCAATAGCTTGAAAAGGTGATGAAACGACATTTTTAAGCGTGAATGTTCAATTTGATCTCTTAACTTTAGTTAAATATCCAATGTGATTTCTCAATTTTTGAACATTTTCATATAGTCTAGAAACTATATTGAATTAAAAGTCTAGATATAACATTACATATTAGATTAAAATTCAAAAATCATATTATACAAATTAAAAATTCAAAAACGACATTGCACATTAATCCAAAGTCTAGGAGTCCAGGAATTATCTGTGCTATTATCCTTTCTCAATCTACCGAGATACAAAGTGAGAGTACAGATAAAATTAGTAGAGGATACCAACTTTTATTACATAGACAAAAAAAGCAAAATGGAGTAATATGAAACATTTCGAATTAGAGATGTATATAACCGTGTAGTACAGTTTTGATTAAGAAATTCAAAATTCAAAAATAACATTACACATTAATCAAAAGTTCAGAAATTATATGTGATATTATCCTTTCTCGAATCAACAACGATCTACATAGATTTTGATTTTTCTATCCTCAAGAAGATATGTAAAACGGTTAATGATAATTCATTAAGTTCAAGTCCCATCTCTTTCTCTCTTTTTTCCCCAAATTTGATTACAATGTACACTTTGATTACATTTTATATTGAATAATTCATTATTTCATAATTTGATAATTCATTTTTTTTATTTCATAATTGATTTTTTAATTTTTACCGGCCCGGTTCAACCGGACCGAACCGGAACCGAACCGGCCTGGAACCATGGCCATGTCTACTTGACAGACATTTAAGAAGCAAACTGTCGTTGCAGACATCTGTACGCCAAAAATAACAACCGAATTACTGGCCTTAAGGTGGAAAAATCCAAACGCATTTAAGAATATTGGTCTATTACACGAGCCCACCTAAAATATTGAAAACATTAGAGTTCCAATCTAAGAAAGAGATACATAAAGAACTGACATTCAAGTGCACCCAGAGAAACTAAGTGATAGGAGATTGAACTACTACGGCAGTCCGAGACTTCTTATGATGCAGGAGCAGCTTTTTGTTTCTTCGGCACGCGATAGCCACCGACGACACAAGCGTGGTCTCGCTCAAAGGGCTCGAGAGTAACTTGCTCAAAGGGCTTGAACTGGTCAGCCTGCAGCTTCTTCACTTCCTGGGAAAATACTATCTCGGCTGGAACAGTAGAATCGATACAATTTGCCTGCAAAAACAAACACAACCCAAAGGAATTCATTACACCTCTTCTCATCAAAGGGACGTTTCTAGTGTTTCTTCTTTCCAAGTGGATTGGTTTTCACCCTCCCTCAACTATGAGGAGATCATTTCCGATGCCACAACTTGTGTCCTAGACTTGCAAAAACTTGCACCAGCTACTTGTTTTAATATTAGAAGAATTACAAGTGAGAGAGAGAGAGAGAGAGAGAGAGAGAGAGAGAGAGAGAGAGAGAGAGAGAGAGAGATACCTTAATTGAGATGACAAAGTGACCTCCAGCCTTGAGAAAATATGACGCATTTAGAGCCAAAATTCTTGCCTGAGATGTAACAAGAAATTATTGAACATCACATATTAAAAACAGACAGCTTCTAGTAAAGCCCTTCAAGCAGAGAAAGGATATCCAAATAACAGATAATAGAATTTGCATTTCTCTCCCTCTGTCGTATAATGAACACACTTCATTACCAGAGCTTTAGGCCTAGTGCAATAAGTGCTTCAACAAGTCAATGCATTTGTTTTCTTAGTTAATGCTTGATGGATAAACAGTCAAATGCAGAAAGACTGCCATGCATGTTATCACAGCAACTTTTATCATAAGTACAAATAAAAAGACCTTCAGGTGATCAGAGAGGCAGATCAAGTGCATCTAACACCACATCACGATAAGTCATGCGATTGCAGGCACGCTAGATCAAAATTAATAATAAGGGATCTGACAAGACATGAGAATTTATAATTTAGCAAAAGCTTGAGTAATTATTAAATTAAGATTCCCCAGCCTAATGCCTTAAAGGCAACGTAATGTACACAACTGTGCTATATTGGTGAGACAGTTTAACCTTATCAACCAAGCTTATAATAGTAGTAACCTGAATCAACAATTGGTCAAAAGGACAACTACATGAATAAGGACCTAACCGGACTTAAAATTTTTTGAAGCTGCACATTGTAGTAGCCGATGGTAACATCAAATAGTAATGTAAGCTAGTTGAATCGCAAACCTGATTTTCATAAATCCTTAAGCTTCATACACAACAGAAACAATTTGAAAGGTAATAAACCCTGCATCAGAAACTTGGGAATGCATCACCCAAATTGTCTTGAAGGGGAAACTGAGTTTTTCATCAAATGCTTTGTAATAATGCAGTACAGGGAATAGGCATGGATTTTACTGGCCCGAAGGCAAGTGATAAACTTGTCTCTAAGGGAAAGAAAAGAAAAGAAAAAATCAAAAAGTAAATCAAATTTGAACTAAAGAAAACAAAAAATTATGGAGTGAGTCAAAATCAGATATGCATCAGAAAACTCAATTTGCATCACCCATGCTGTCTTGAAGGGGAATCCGAGTTAATTCTTCATGTGCATAAGTTTCCCTCTTGGTGAAACACCTCAATTAAAGATTCTCATAGTGTACGCTTAACATAGCAATGAAGAAAACTGTAGTTATAGTAGTATAGATATATAAATCAAACAAAAGATAAATCACAAATCCAAGAAGGTAATTTCTGTGAATCCGAGTTTTTCATCAAATGCTTTGTAATAATGCAGTACAGGGAATGCGCATGGAGTTTACTGGCCCGAAAGTATGTCATATACTTGTCTTTAAGGGAAAGAAAAGAAAAGAACAACTCAAAAAGAAAATCAAATTTGAACTAAAGAAAACAAAAAATTATGGAGTGAGCCAAAATCAGATATGCATCAGAAAACTCGATCTTGCATCACCCATGCTGTCTTGAAGGGGAATCCGAGTTAATTCTTCATGTGCATAAGTTTCCCTCTTGGTTAAACACCTCAATTAAAGAATCTAAAAGTGTATGCTTAACATAGCAATGAAGAAAACTGTAGTTATAGTAGTATAGATATAAATAAATAAAAAAGATAAACCACAAAACCAGGAAGGTAATTTCCAAACAACAGGTCATCCTGTTCATACAAAAAGAAGCCTCACAAACGCATGAGCAAAGCAAAGAAAATCCATGGCATGAATTGAAGCTGAGAAAGGTAAAACAAAGGCTGCAAAGAAATGCTTTGATTTTTTTTATCGGAAATAGAAAGTATAGAATTCACGGAATCTGATTTAAAAGCATCAAAGACAATAAATATGCAAATTCATAAAAGAAGAAAGATCCAAATAGGGAAATAAGTTGCTACAAGCATATAAACAAAACCATGCAGTAAGTCAAACAGAAATAAAGGTAGGATGCGTGATATAGGATTTTCTTTTAGTGGTCCGGATGAAGTCCTGCACCGACACTTTGGCGAGGAAGACTTTCATAGGAACAAATTCAATTCCTTTCATAGTCAAAGACAATAGTCAATACCTGATCTGGTTGAGCAACATCGGAAAATATTACATCCACCATTCCAACCAACATACGGTACTTGGCTGGATGTCTAGCATCTTCAATGATTGGAATAACGTTGGTTCTCTTCTTTGCCATGTTGACTAAGTCCCTCCCACTTCGATGGGAGAACTCCACAGCATACACCACTCCTGTCTGCCAAAAGGAACGCAAGACAACAAGTCAGTCATCTGGTCATTTTTGGTAAAAGAATCATTCTTCCAAAAAAATAGAAAAAAGGACCTACAGGGCCAACAATGTCGGAAACATGAGATACTGTGGTCCCAGAAGCAGCTCCCAGATAGAGAACCCGAGCACCAGGTTTCTGAATTTGAAGAGAATGAATCATGATCAGTGATATGGAAGAAGCTACACGTCACAGATACACCAGAGAAAAAGGAGAAGAGATGCTCACAATCCATATCTCATCAACCCCACCAAGAATGGCAGCTGCCAGCTTTGATCGGAAGGGGTTCCACACTCTATATTCCACTTTACTTCCATCTTCATTCTAACAAGAGTTCAAAGAAAAAGCAATACAGCTTACTAATATTTCTAGGTCACTGGAAAAAAGAATCTCACATATTTAACATGAGAATCATAGTCAAAGAAAGTAAAGGAGGCCAACATTATTAAGCTCCTAGAATCAGAAAGATCTGAACGCTAGAAAATTGCATCTGCAGCAACAGAGTTTACTAGTAGAAATCTTTTTACTTAACAGCCCTGGCAAAAGGAACTTCACACAAATCAAAGAATCGAATCTAAGCCAGATCCTCCACAATCAATCAAATTCGCATGGTACAAGTATACAGAGCCAAAAAAGCTTTAGCATTCCTAGAACCATAATTAAAAGTCTAAAGACCAGTCGATCCCAGATAAGCAGGTCGTTCGCCAACTTTTTTTTTCCAATTTCTGTTTTGAGATGAATCAGGAGTTTATCATTTCTAACATTTGGAAACCGATTAAAACAGTAGAAGATGCCTAGCAATCACTAGCGAGATGAATAAAAAAACATATTCACCTGCACAGAGACTCTCTTCTCGTTATAGACAGCCTCTCCAGGGACCATATTCTTCGTAACGAGAGCATCTTCTTTGCCCTTAGCAATGAACACCCCCTCATGTCTATGAGGCTCAACCACAACTCTGCTTCCGCCTTTCATCCCGCCTCTACCACCGCCGCCGCCTCGTCCTCTTCCGCCACGGCCACCACCACCACCACGTCCACCACCACGGCCACCCATGGCACTACCTCTTCCACCTCCACCTCTCCCTCTTCCTCTCCCTCCATCACCCCTTCCGCCCCTAAATCCCCCGCCCCCACGACCTGCAAAGACCCAACAAGATCATCCGTCAAACAAAAAAACAGGGGCTCGAATACCATGTTAAGGCCACCAAACAACAGCGAAAAACAGCACATTAAAGGCCAAAACACAGCACAGGCAGCAGCATAAAACCAACAGAAAATCTCAAAAAAGGACAACCCAGCTCATCCCCAAGCAGCAAACATTAACCTCACACTTCATTCCGGTACCAAGTATTCAAGAAGGCAAGCAAGCAGCATCACGTATTCCACAGATTACTACAGCACGACGACAAAAATCGAACCCCGTAATCAAAACCCAGTACCATCCCCAGCTGCAGAAACAGCTCAAGAACCGACATGCGGATCTTCAAACGAAACCAGCACCAAAAAAAGGAGAGTAAAAAAGAACAAAAAAAAAAGGCAAGCATGCATCGAGCGCCCAAAGCTAAACTGCGTTCGCTCCATTTTCCCACACGCACGCGATCGCAAACAAGAAGGGGAAAGGCGGCGAAGGCTTTACCTCTCTGAGGCGGCCTCATCTCGGTGATAGCTGAAGAGACTAAGGATGGCCGCCGGTTTCAGCTTTTGAGGAAGAGAGGGCTACGACTGTGTCGCAAAGTTACAACTCGAGAGGCATTTTATTGCGGAGCAGAATTGCAGGGAAAGGGGGGTTTAGGGTTTTAGGGCGAGGCGACGCAGCCGCGTTTTGCTCTGAGAGTTTGGGCTGAGTTTGTGGGCCTGGGAATGGGAATGGCCCAACTCCGGCCCAAAATGCGAAAAGCCCATGAACGTATCTGAAACCTAAAGGTTGGATGTAGCTCTTGACTGACCGCCCACTTCTTCTTCTATATATATTTTTTTTGGGATAATAATGTGGTCTCTGAACTTTAAATTATTCAATATGATCTCTGAACTTTAACTCAATGTGTAATGTCGTCGCTGAACTTTAAATTTGTTCAATATGATCCCCAAATTTTTTATACATGTTCAGTTAGTATCTGGACTATATGAAAATGTTCAACTTCATCCTTCCATAAATTCTAGTTTATGGACGATATTGAACATTTTCCATATAGTCCAGGGACTAGATGTATCAAAAGTTCAGGAATATTGAACAAATTAAAAGTTCATGGACGACATTGCACATTGGGTTAAAGTTTAGGGACCACATCGAACAAATTTAAAGTTCAGAGATTATAGTGCACATTGAGCCAAAATTTAGAGATCACTTGTGTCATTTTCCCATTTTCTTTTCCATTGTTTGATTTCTGCATATTTATTCAATCTTGCACGATAAGAGTAGCGCATTCTCGGCAAACAATATAATACAACAATGAACTTTTCACCCAATCACGATAAGAGTAGCGCATTCTCGGCAAACAATATAAACCATTGTCTTTTAGATAAGATAAAATGTTTGATTGCTAGTATCTATTACATGAAAGTTTGTGTCGAAAACAGGTTCCTTAGTACATTCCGTGCCGGCAGCTCTTCAAGAAAAAGACATTTGAAATTTGAGGTTCCTATTTGAACTGTTTAAGACCCGTGAATACATGCCTAGAAATAAAGGCGTTTAATTGACCTTATGGCATTTGAGCCCACGTCGTTTTTATTCTGCAACCCATCACATTACATCAAAGTTCAACCCAGCAGCATCATACACCATCCACGGACCACAACATTCCGCCAACGAGTGATCAAACACAGGCAACTTCTGATAATTCGTCAATGATAATTTATGGTCATTTCATCATGAAGCCATGAGATGAAGCACAAAAATCGAATGGTCGATCCGTGAATTCATCATCGATTCTCAGTGTTCTTCATGCAATGCAACGGTTGCTACAGAAAACAGCCCAAGCAAGCAGATACAAGCTTTCCCAGAATGACACTAGAGCTTCCTGGTAAATTAACAATCTGCATCGCTCTAGTGCCAGTAGCCAAGCTTGTATGGCGTATACGCGCTACATACAAAAAATTCCTAGCATACATTTAATCTCTAACATGTTATTATGCAGCCGCGAAACTGTAAGTTGTGCTTGAAGCCAGTGGTGTGCAGAGAAAACAGGGTGGTTTCTGGTCACCGCTTGACCCACTGGAAGCTCTTCCTTGCTTTTGCTTTGCCCGGTTTTTTCCTTTCCACCACACGCGGATCCCTCGTCAAGAAACCAGCTGTCAACAAGACATAAACACTTCTATAAGTTGAAGGTCACACTAAGATGACAACCAAGGTCTCATCGATATAGATAGGGAAGGCAAAGGGAAATATATGCCCCAACCCCCGAAGGAACTCAATGCAGTGCGCTAATTTTATTCAACAGAGAAGATAAAGAACCAATCAACATGAAAATCAAGAGGATTTCTAAAGTTCTTGTTGTTTGGTGACTAAATCTAAATGCAAGCTAAGCGAAGGTTGAAGGTTGTCATTGTTTTTATTGCCTTATCTTGATTTTTGTTTTTTCCTTTTTGTTGCCGGATATTACTTTACCTTTTGCTTTCTACACAATTTTATGGCAGTTCTGAGAGAGGTTCTTCTACTACATTTTCCTTGGTATCTCTCCATTTATGTAAATGTAAGTGAAAAAGAAAAAGGCCTGATGCACTTTAACTTGCATTAGCAGAAGGTTAATGTACAATAAGGAAGTTTCTGATACGAAACCAAGAGGGGCTTGGGTGCTGTTTTGATGAACGCAGGTGAGGTGAACAAAACATACACTGCACTCAACCTTTTCTTAAACAACAAATATCTTAAGAAAGAAAACATTGTGTGGTAATAGAATCTCATAATAATTCGACCTATCTTACCGGATCTAAGAGCAGGACGTAAACCAGGCTCCCAGTTTTGCAAGGCCCTGCTGATGCCCAATCGAATCGCTCCAACTTGACCTGGCATCAGATGAAGTTTAGTATTACCGCTTACAAACTCCATTTTAGAAGGACCAGAGATATATCCAACAGTAAAGAAAAGACAAGACCTCTTTGTTAAAGAGACAGAAAGCAAAAGGTACCTTTTTGCTTTCCCGCCAAACTTAAAGCATTATTCAAATTTCAAAACATTAGAACAAATTATTTGTCAAGCTATGGGTCAACATCTGTATCTAGTGAAAGTTTCAAATGTTTCAGATTATAAAAGAGTTAGTGTGTGAGCCGCAAGACTTAAGTTAAACAAAAAGAAAAATATACAAGTCAATCCAAAGAGACCCTGTCTTTTCCCATTAAGCAAAGCCTTTGCATAGGAATTCTTACTGTGTCGAAAAATATTGTCACTACATGTATTTGAAAGGGAAAATGACACAAACAGTTCCTGAACTTTGGCCCAATGTGCAATTTGGTCCCTAAACTTTTAATTTATCCAATGTAGTCCCTAAATTTTAACCCAATATACAATGTGGTCCCTAAACTTTTAATTTGTTCAATGTCATCCCTGAACTTTTGGTACATGTTCAATTCAGTCCCTGAACTATATGAGAATGTTCAATGTAGTCCTTCTATTAATTCAAGTTCAGGGACTACATTGAACATTTTCATATAGTTCAAGGACTGAATTGAACATGTACCAAAAGTTTAGGGACCAAATTGAACAAATAAAAGTTCATGGACCACATTGAACATTAGGCTAAAGTTCAGGGACTACATTGAACAAATTAAAAGTTGAAGAACCGAATTGCATATTAGGTCCAAGTTCAGGGACTGTTTGTGTCATTTTCCCTATTTGAAAGCACTAGCAGACTCCAGAAACTTAAAAAATCTTGTGTTAGAATATACAACCATTGTGACTGCACCAAAAGAGGCCGGTTCCTACTTTTTAGTTGGTAAAACACACTAAGGCGTTAGAGATGTGCTAGTGAGTGCATGAGTGATGAGAAGAAGGAAGAGGCAATTCAGAAAACAAAACTCAACCAACTAGTGCGATAATATCAGCATTAGATAGACATATCAGCCAGCCTTGCACATGTTAGTTCACTTAGGCAAGCCTATCCATTCTAATATCAGTCTTATATTCTCAGAAATTACAACAATCGCAACAAATGATGATACATAAAGACTGCAAAGCAAATAGTAGAAAATGCTAGTAATGGATGCACGGATAGCACAAATTAAAATAAATTCAATCTGCCATGTATCCTGAACTTAAACAACGATACAAATAAATAATTGCAAAAACAAGTGCTTTCACAGTTCAGAGCGACACTAGAACTCACCCGAGACACCACCTCCTTTCACGGTACAGTTGACGTCCCAGAGGCCCAAAGTCTTTGTCTCAGAGAAAGGTCGAAGTAGAGCAGCACGATGGTCAAGCATTGGGAAATAGACATCGACTTCTTTTTCATTCACCGTGAATTTGCCATCACCAGGTTGAACCCAGACGCGTGCTATGCTGCACTTCCTTCTTCCTGTTCCATAAGCCCTTTCCTTGTCGTCTACTTGTCTCACTCTTGCCTTGGCGACTTCCTCCTGCTTCAAGCGCTCTATTTCTGCTCTTGTGGATTTTCTCGTGTTCTTCTCATAACGCATGTCTTCGATTTCCCTCAAAGGTGGCAAGCCTTCAATTCCTTCGAAATCCTTGAGAGCAATCAGACTGTCCAGCATGGCATCTGTGATTCCAGATGCTGCAATAAGGTCGCCAAATGCACGATTTGGACCTATGATACACAAATGCACAAATTAAACTTCAATACTATGAGGAATAAAGCGAATTATATAAATAAAAAAAAACAACGAATTAATAAGGTTGCACATCTACATGAGGTGAAAAAAGAGGCAAACTTGGCTCTCGGGTCTCTCAAAATGAGGGAACATGACAACAAATTTCCCGATTTTCTTTCCATTGAGATGAAGCAATGTTCAACTCCGAACATTGATTTGCAGTCACGGAAGCCAAGGGTGAAACTAATAGGCATAGCATACACCACGAAGCAATACAACTACACTAACCACAAGTACCAAATTACTCGAATTATCTGGTGCACAACTCTACAACAGAACTAGGAGACAACACCATCAAGCTTGCGACCACGTTGAATACGAGAGCACACAATGCCGAAAAGAAGATGGCTTTCTCAGAAACGTTAATCCCAACGATTAATACTGTAATAATGCACAAATGATGCCAAGAAAAAGGAGCAAAAATGCATAAGGAGCAAGCTGATCGGTAAAATTGGGAACCTTTGAGTACTGTAGTGAGTTCTTGTTCTTCTCTCTCGAGCCTCTTCTCCTCCTCGATCTTATCACTCTTCACAGCGTCAGCTCCCCGACCCACGTCATCGCCGAAAGCCTGTGCACCTTCCCCAATATCAAACAAGCCGTCGTCCTTCCCTTCCTCCACCAAACTCCACGCCCTATACCCCTCGGCCGTGAGCCATCCGTCGTCTTCTCCGACGCTCTTCTCTCCCGCTTCCCCCTCCTTCAGCCACGAATCCTCCCCGCCGCCGGAGAATCCCGCGAGCTTCCCGGAGTCCTCCGAGAAGAGGCGGTCGAACTTCGCGTCGCCGTCGCCGTCGCCGGAGAGCTTCCAGGGATCGGAGGGCGGGGGATCTCGGGAGTCGCCGCCATTGCCGCCGTCGCGATCGGTGGAGAAGCGCCGGAGGAGGAGGAGGGAGGCCAGGTGGGGGCGGCGGCTGCTCGGCGGAGGAGGGGGATTGGAGCGGAGCCTTGCGGCGGCGGCGGCGGCGGCTATGGAGAGCAGAGGAGGGAGGTTGGATGGTCTGGTGAGTAAGCGAGCGAGCATTTTCGGAGGAAGTTGCAGAGCGAGGGAGCACCGTCGGGGAGAGAGTGCGCGTAACTGAGAGTAGGGTTTTAGGAATGGAAGGGGAAGGGAAGGAGAGAGAAACGGGTCGACCCGGATTCACAAACGGTGCGGGTTGGAGCTCCCGCGGGCTAATGGGTTCGGGATCGAGATGTGGGGCCCGAGAAGCCCGGCCCAAATTGGAGACGTGGCTAGACACATTTGCTCATACCTTTTGGGGCTCGGCTGGCTTGACGGTGCCGTGATTTTAATTTTCTAACCGCCTAATACCAGCCACATTTCGACCCAAAAAAAAAATAAAAATTACCAGTCACAATTTTTAGAGCTGCGTTTGGTTATTCAGACACGGATTAGGCCAGGATAAAATGAGGTGAGATTATAAATCTTCCGGATTGTGAAAAATCTCATCATTTGTTTAATAAATGTCCGGATATAACATGGATATTGGGATATGCTATTCACCACGCTAGCAATCTCTAACGGACAACGGTGATGACAGCCACGACTAACATGCCAAGCTGCGACATAGCCTAGTGGCTGGCGTCCTCCTAAATCTAGAACGGTGACCATCATTGAGATGATCGCACTCCTAACCATGGTGGTTGTGCTCTTTGAAGGACGGCGACTAAGGCTGCGCATGACAACTTGCCAAACAGTGTTTGATTCTGTTCTTTTGTTCCTAGAATCAGTTTGGGAATAGAAATGCATTTGTTTAATTTTTTGATTCTAGGCACAATTTTGCCAAAAATTGTTCCCAGAATCAGTTTTGGAGCAAAATCAAGAATAAAAAAAAAGTAGCTTCTTGATTCTGGGAATAATTATGAGAATCAATTTTTTTTTCTTCCATTTCTTGGTTTTTAATTTAGCTTCTAATGTCCAGCCCGAGGACCGCCCTCGCCGGATCTGACGAGAATAAAATATTTGAATAAAAAATATTATTAATAAAAAATATTTTACCGGCCATGGCCATAAAAAAGAAAAATATATATTTTTAATAAAAATATTTTAATAAAAAATATTATTAATAAAAAAAATATTTTACCTGCCATGGCCGGTGACCAGGCCATGGCAAAAAAAGAAAAAAAATATATTTTTTATAAAAATATTTTAATAAAAAATATTATTAATAAAAAAATATTTTACCGGCCATGGCCAAAAAAAATAAAAATGTATATTTTTAATAAAAAAATTATTTTACAGGCCATGGCCGGCGATCAGGCCATGGCAAAAAAAAGAAAAAAATATATTTTTAATAAAAATATTTTAATAAAAAAAATATTTTACCAGCCATGGCTGGCGACTAGGCCATGGCAAAAAAAAAATAAAAAAATATATTTTTAATAAAAATATTTTAATAAAAAAAATTATTAATAAAAAAATATTTTACCGGCCATGGCTGGCGACTGTGCCATGGCCCAAAAAATAAAAATGTATATTTTTAATAAAAAAATATTTTACCGGCCATGGCAAAAAAATAAAAATATTTTAATAAAAATATTATTAATAAAAAAATATTTTACTCGGTCATGGCCAAAAAAAGAAAAAATACTTTTAATAAAATATTATTAATAAAAAAATATTTTACCGGTCATGGCCATGGTCGAAGCAGTGCTATGGCCAAGAAGGAGGAAAAGAAAAAAGAAAAGAAAAAAAGAAAGAAATATTAAAATATTTAAAAATATTATTAATAAAAAGAAATTTTGTGGCGTTACCAAACGCATTTGCTTCTTTTTCTATTCCAGGGATGGAATTTTGGGCCGTTAACAAACGCTTTAAAATGCCTGGGAATCAATTCGGCACTGAGAATAAAAAGAATCATTTTCGAGCGTAACCTGTTCCGGGCGCGAGTAATCGTTGTCATCTTGCAACCTAACACATGCAAAAATAAGGATCAAATATCATTCAATTCCTTACACTTCGGTTTAAGGTGGGATGGAACTCTAAGGCCATGTACATACAACTATTCTCGCGTCTTAATGCATTCTAGTCGAAATGATTCTTTTTTATTCCAATGTCCTGAATCGATTCTCGAGCATTTAAAGGCGTTTGAGTAACTGCCCAAAATTTCTATTCTGAAATAGTAAAAGAACAAAATGCGTTTGCAGAACGGCATAAAATTTCTTTTTATTAATAATATTTTAATAACATTTTAAATATTTAAATATTTCTTTCTTTTCTTTTTTTCTTTCTCCTTCTTCGCCATGGCCTAAAATATTTTTAATCAATAATACTTTTATTAAAAATAATTTTTTAATTTTTTTTGGCCATGGCCGGTAAAAAATTTTCTTATAAATTTTTTTTATTATTAATTTTAAAAAAAAATATTTTACTAAAAAATATTTTTGTTGAAAATATTTTTTTCTTTTTTTTCGCCATAGCCTGGTCGGTGGCAATGGCCGGTAAAATATTTTTTTATTAATAATAATTTAATAAAAAAAATTTATTGTAATTATTTTTTTATTTTTTTTACCATGGCCTGGTTGCTGGCCATGGCCGGTAAAATATTTTTTTTATAAATATTTTTTTATTAATAATATTTTTAATAAAAAAAATTTATTGAAAATATTTTTTTTATTTTTTTCGCCATGGCCTGGTCGCTGGCCATGGCCGGTAAAATTTTTTTTATTAATAATATTTTTTTTACTTTTTTTCGCCATGGTCGGTAAAAATTTTTTTTATTAATAATATTTTTTTTTATTTTTTTCACCATGGCCTGGTCGCTGGCCATGGCTGGTAAAATTTTTTTATTAATAATATTTTTTTATTAAAATATTTTAATCTCGCTAAATACGTGCGAGGTCAAGCCTCGCCGGACATTAGAAGTTATATTAAAAACCAAGAAAAAGAAGAAGAAAAAAAAAACTGATTCTCATTTTTGTTCCTGACGCAGAGAGAAGCGTAAATTTGGAACAACTCCAAAGAACTCGAAATTTTTATTCTATAATACTGTGTTTTTTTATTACAGGACGGACATCTTATATATAGAGATAGGACTCCTAATACTAATGGAAACCGAATAATTAAAGAAACTGCATGAATGGTAATATAGGAAACTGCCTGACTGGTAATATCGGAAACTGCCTAAATGATAATATAGGAAACTGCTTGAATGGTTGTTTTCCCCAAAATCGAAAAATCGCCGAGATTTCCTAAGTGATTACGGTGATCACATTGTTCAAGATAATCACAGCTAACCTGTTCTACATCATTCCTCCCTCTTCGGAAAAACTCGCCCTCGAGTTATGATCAGAATAGAGGAGTGTATCGGAAGCATGATACTCAAATAAGTCTGCCACATTAAATGTAAGGGAAATGTTGAGATAACCAGGAAGGTCAACTACATAGGCATTGTCGTTGATCTTCTTCAGGATGCGACAAGGACCAATCTTCTTGTGCTTCAGTTTATTATAGGTACCTACAGGAAAATGCTCCTTTCGCAGGAAAACCATTACCTCATCACCCACCTCAAAAATTTTCGAACGTCGCCGTTTATCAGCATCCTCCTTATACTTTGAATTAGAAGCAGCCAATTGACTAGCCACAGCAGCTTGGATTTCATTAATTCTGGTCGTTAAATTCTCTGCCGCGATACTATAGCCTGGAATCTTGGGCAAGAGAACCAAATCCAGAGTATGCTGTGGTGTACGCCCATAAACGACTTGAAAGGGAGATGTACTGGTAGAGCGGTTAACCGAGTTGTTGAAGGCGAACTCAGCAAGAGCAAGATACCGGTCCCATCGCTTAGGCATATTACTCAAGCAGGCAGCGAATGATATCCGCCATAGTACGATTCACAACTTCCGTCCGACCATCCGTTTGGGGATGAGAAAGAACTACTATACTGTAAATCAGTCCCAAACAAACGCCATAAAGTACTAGGCGCGTTAGTGAGTCCAAACGGCATGACAAGCCATTCGTACAAACCCGCACTTGTCTTGAAGGCCGTTTTCCATTCGTCGCCAGGGCGGATGCGAACTTGGTGGTATCCGCTTTGAAGTTCGATCTTCGTAAAAATCTGTGATCCAGCAAGTCTGTCTAGCATATCATCAAGTCGTGGAATCGGAAACCTATACTTGACAGTAATCCGGTTAATGGCACGACTGTCTACACATACGCATGGTACCGTCTTTCTTTGGCGTGAGAAGCGCAGAACCGCACATGGACTTTGCTTTCACGCAAGAAGCCCTTTCGAAGGAGATCTCCCACGTGCTCCTGTAGAATCTGATTCTCCTTCGGATTCATCCGATAATGCAGCAAATTAGGAAGACTAGCACCTGGAAGAAAATCAATCTCGTGATGGATATTCCTCAAAGGAGGTAATCCGTCAGGTAAATCCTCAGGCATAACATCACTGAATACCTTTAATAAGGGCTTAAGAATGTCGGGAACACGAACCACAACTTGCTGGTCGCTCTTGTCCACAATCATATACATCCCTTCACGTTTTCGGATATTCATCATAACCCCTGCATTCTGCTTCTTCACAATCTGAGGGGAATTACTCTTTGGTTTCAAAGTAATTTTAGTCCTTTTCCACACAAAAGAATACGTATTCTCCCTAGCTCGGTGTGTAGCATCAACATCATATTGCCATGGCCGACCCAGTAAAACATGACACGCATCCATCTCCACAACATCACAGACAATAGTATCTTGATATGATTTCCCGATCGAAATAGGTAAACGGCATAATTGGTTTACCTTAAGTTCTGCTCCCTTGCGTATCCACCCGATCGTGTAGGGCGCGGGATGCGGCTTCGTCTTTAGTTGCAAGTGATCCACCAAGGCCTTTGACACTATGTTCTCGCAACTTCCGCTGTCAATAATAATATCGCATACTTTGCCATTGACAAAGACAAATGAGCGCGGAAAAGCCGATTCACTGGTATCTTCATTGTTCATGAGCAAGCAATAGACGACGCACAACACAATTAACTTACTCGCCCACTTCATCTTCCACTCCCACTTCTTCTTCCTTTTCCCAATCTTCCTCATACACATCTTCATCATGTTCAACGATATTGGCCATTCTACGACGAGGACAATCGC